GAGAGCAAAACAGCCTCTGAGTTTATGGGAGTCACTTCGATGGGGCCAAAAGAATTCTAAAAACTATATTGTTTGAGCATCCCCAACCCAAATATCTGAAATCTGAAATGCTCCAAAATCGGAAACTGGGACTATAGGTACACACCACCATACCTGGCCTGTTGAGATTCACTTGGGGTGGCTGGCAAAATATTAAAAGAAGTATTAGAGAAGTTATAAAATTATACTCTCAAACTTTCTAAAACCCCGAAAAAAAAATTTTTTTTTTTTGAAAGGAGTCTCACTCTGTCACCCAGGCTGAAGTGCACTGGCGTTATCTCAGCTCACTGCAATCTCTGCCTCCTGGTTTCAAGCAATTTTCCTGCCTCAGACTCCCAATTAGCTGGGACTACAGGTGCGCACGACCACACTCAGCAAATTTTTTTGTATTTTTAGTAGAGACAGGGTTTCACCATGTTAGCCAGGATGGTCTCGATCTACTGACCTCCTGATCTACCTGCCTTGGCCTCCCAAAGTGCTGGGATTAGAGGCGTGAGCAACCAGGCCTGGCCAGCGGAAAAGTTTTAATAAGACTGGCTGAAAGCAGCCAATTCTTATCTTAGAGGATTAAGTCATAAAGTGAAAATTAAAGGTAAAAAAAACTTCCCTAGTTAAATCTGTTTACCCCACATTCCTTTGTCTCTACTCTGTTTACTCATGTAAACTTTGTGTTAGATAGCCCTTTCAGAGGGAGGTCCAAAAAGAATTACCCGTTAATGGTGTTTACTCTAAGACCCCAAACCAAAACTTTTTTATCATTCGTAAAACTACTCTTTTAACCACATTAATTATCCATAAGCATGTTGACATAAACCTGTTATTAAATTTATACTGAATAAATGTGAAAAAGAACAAGGGTAGTAATCAGTTAGCTGCAATCACCCTCAGAGAGCAGCTGATGGCCATCCCTAGCTCACTCAAGATGCAAAGCCAGAATAAAAGCAATGACCACCTCAACTAACACTGGCTAATTTTTGTATTTTTAGTAGACATGGGGTTTCACGATATTGGTCAGTTGGTATCAAACTCCCAACCTCAGGTGATCCACCTACTTCAGCCTCCCAAAGTGCTGGAATTACAGGTGTGAGCCACCACACCCAGCCAGGGCTCAAACTATACAGGCTGAGCATCCCTAATCCAAATATCCAAAATCCGAAATGACCTAAAATCCAAAATTTTTTTAGCTCTCACACAAAGCCATAGTGAAAAATTCCACATGTAAGTACTTAACACAAACTTTGTTTCATGAACAAAATTATTTTAAATAGTCTGTAAAATTATCCTCAGGCTATATGTATAAGATGATATGAAACACAAGTGACTTTCTTGTTTAGATTTGGGTCACCCCAAGATATCTCATTATGTGTATGCAGATATACCAAAATCTGAAATCTGAACTACTTTTGGTTCCAAACATTTGGGATAAGGGATACCTAACCTCTACAAACACCTAAAGAAAGGACTCTCGGCTGGGCAAGGTGGCCAGCACTCTGGGAGGCTGAAGTGGGCAGATCACCTGAGGTCAGGAGTTCAAGACCAACCTGGCCAACACGGCAAAACCCTGTCTTTATTTAAAAAAAAAAGACAAAAATTAGTCGCGCATGGTGGATGCCTGTCCCAGCTACTCAGAAGGCTGAGGCAGGAGAATGGCTTGAATCTGGGAGGCGGAGGTTGCAGTTAGCCAAGATCGCGCCACTGCACTCCAGCCTGGGCAACAGAGCAAGACTCGGTCTCATACCCTTTTTTCCCTGAAAATACTGTGCTGACAGCGAGCTCCGCCCCTGGGGGGGCGGAGGCTGCAGTGAGCCAAGATTGCACCACTGGACTCCAGCCTGGGTGACAGAGCAAGACTGTCTCAAAAAAACAAAACAAAAAAAAGACTGTTCTGCTCTAGCCACTTCCCAAGGCAGGAAATGCTGTCATTTCTCATACCTCTAGGCCTTGGTACCTGCTGTGCTCACTGACTGGAACCTTTCCCTGCTTTATTTGGTAGGTGAATTTCCATTCACTTTGACATCACAGCCTATTTAAGCTCCTCTGTGGAGGCTTTTCTTTTCTTTTTCCTTGCAGAGTGTGAGATTTTTTTTTTTCACTCCCATTGCCTCTTCTCCATATCTTCAGCAGAGTACTTACCCAATTACACAGTAACTTTTTGTTTTTTTCAGACAGAGTCTTGCTCTGTTGCCCAGGCTGGAGTGCAGTGGCGCAATCTTGGCTCACTGCAACCTCTGCCTCCCAGGTTCAAGCGATTCTTTTGCCTCAGCCTCCCAAGAAGCCAGGACTACAAGCGTGTGCTACCATGCCCAGCTAATTTTTGTATTTTTAGTAGAGATGGGGTTTCATCATGTTGGCCAGGATGGTGTCGATCTCTTGACCTCATGATCCACCCGCCTCAGCCTCCCAAAGGCTGAGATTACAGGCGATAGCCACCACACCCGGCCAGTAACTACTTTTTTTTTTCTTGACATGGAACCTTGCTCTGTTGCCCAGGCTGGAGTCCGTAGGGGGGCAATCTTGGCTCACTGAAGTCTCTGCCTCCCAGGTTCAAGCAATTCTCCTGCCTCAGCCTCCTGTGTAGCTGGGACCACAGGCGCGCACCACCACGACTGGCTAAGTTTTGCATTTTTTTAGTAGAGTTGGGATTTCACCATGTTGGCCAGGCTGGTCTTGAACTCCTGACCTCAACTGATCCTCTCATCTGTTTCCCAAAGTGCTGGGAATACCGGCGAGAGCCACCATGACTGGCCTGTTTTCATGTCTATGTGTTTTTAAGCTCCTTAAGACAAGGACAATCTTATTCATCTTGGTATACATATATCCCCTGGGACTTAGTACAGTTTTTAGACACATAGTGGGTACTCTGTATGAATTGAAAGAATACATAAACTGAAGACATCAGAAAATAGAGAAAAGCTGGGGACAGATTTAGTCTTTGGCAGCCACGAAGAGCTGTTACATTCCCAACCTGCCCAACTCTGGCTAACAGTTCTAGTTCTGTTACTGTCATCTACCATAAATATTTGTCATTTTCCAGACACTCAGAATGAGATAAACATGATAATGCAGATTTGCTACCTAAATGATGCTTTCATTAATATGCAAACGCAGTGTATGTTGTCATACATTATTAAGAAGATAGTTTGTTTGGTAAAAAGATAGTGCTGGCTCTGAATTTAGATTGCCTGGACTTAAATTCCAGCTCTGCCATTTACTATGTGTGAAATCCTGAGCCAGTTACTCTTTCTTTGAGCCTCAGGTTACTCCTTTGTAAAATAAAGACAATTATAGTACCAATTTCATAAAGTTGTTACCACTGCGTGAGACAAGGTATGTAAAGCACTCAAATTAGTACCTGGCAAACTTTGAAATGTTATCTTCTACGGTAATATACCAAAAAAGTTCACAAGAATCTCATATGTTTTATGCACATAGTATGTATGTATGGTTTATGCACTTTCACATAACACTGTGATTCTTCAACATTTGGGGTTATGTTTTTTGACCCCAAAGAGACATTTGGGAAAGCCCAGAGACATTATTGGTTGTCACCACCTTGGGAGAGATGCTACTGACGTCTAGTGGGTCAGGCCAGGGATGTTTCTAAACACTCTACAATGCTCAGGACACCCTGACCCCTGGCTAAAAAAAAAGAAAAAGAAGCATCAGAACCCAAAATGTCAATAGTACAGAGGTTGAGAAACCCTGATCTAAACAGGGCATGTGGAAACGTATTTCACAGGATGTAATCACAAGCTCTATATACACATATATCTTGTGGTCATGTTATAGACATACAGTCTGCACATACACATATCTAGAATGTACTATGTACTTACATATGTATTATTATTATAGAATGTACCTAGAGTAGCATCCTGTCATCTATGCATTGATTGTGTCTGTCAATATCTACATACAAAAGTCAGTCTGACATACTGCAGAGAATGCTTAGTCTCAGAAAGTTAGTATTATCTCTATATACATAATTCTGTTTCATCCTCACAACTGCATGAAGTTATGATATCATGCCAACTTTATGCAATGACTAGTTGAAGACTGCACAAATGCTGATGTAGGTCGACTTCACAATATGGAAAGGAACTACGTTTATCTTATACGCCAACGCATCCCAAGGGTGTCCAAACTCTCAGTAAACATTTGTGAAGTGACAGGGTGGGGAGGAGGACCCAGAACTCCAGCACTGTGCTCGTAACCAGCAAATCGCTATCTTTTCTCTTTTTTTCTTTTTCGAGATGGAGTTTTGCTCTTGTTGCCCAAGCCGGAGTGCACTATCTCGGCTCACTGCAACCTCCGCCTCCCAGGTTCAAGCGATCTCCTGTCTCAGTCTCCCCAGTAGCTGGGATTACAGACGCCCACCACCAAGCCTGGCTAAATTTTTTGTATTTTTAGTAGAGACTGGGTTTTACCACGTTGGCCAGGCTGGTCTCCAACTGCTGACCTGAAGTGATTCGCCCAGCTAAGCCTGCCAAAGTGCTGAGATTACACGCGCGAGCCACCGCGCCCGACCAGATCGCTGTCTAAATGGCGACCGAGTCTCCACTCCCTATGGCTCCTTAGAAGCCACTTCACCTCTTTGAACCTCACTGTACTTATCTGTAAAGTGGGACAGAAACAAAACCACCCTTACTAGTGTTAGAGGGAGGAGTCAAACACAACAAAAGGGGCAAAGTTCTGCATAGCAGACAGCGTGGACAATTCGGAGACCTCGCGGAGCCGGGGATCCCGCGCCGTCAGACGAGGTGGGTTGAGGACGAGGCCTCTCGGGCAGGCAGAGGTTAACTCGGGGCTGGGCGAAAACTTGCCGCTCAGCCTAAGCGCGAGACCCCAGCCACAGCAATCGCCAAGACTTCCTGCTCCAACCTCCTCGAGATCCCGTCCGGAAGGACACCAGGCTGACCCCCTGCCGCGCGGCCCAATCGTTGTGCGCGGTGATGCGCGCATGCGTAACCCACGGTCAGCGACGGCGGCCGGGAGGCGGAAGTGGAAGTTGTTGTGGCTCTGTGAGCTCTGCGAGGAGCTGCTGCTGCTGAGGCGGCGGCGGCGCTGCCGGCTCCTGGGTGTTCCGCCCCTCGTCTCGCCTCCCAGCCTTTCCTGAGCCAGCCGGGGACCCGCGCCGGCCAGCGCCTGCCCTATGAGTGTGTCACTTGTTGTCATCCGATTGGAGCTCGCGGAACACTCGCCCGTCCCTGCCGGCTTCGGCTTCAGCGCCGCGGGTGAGTCCCGTGGCCTCGCGGCCTTCCCTGTAATCGGGTCTGGGCCCAGGGGGCTTTCCCTCGCAAAGCACTGTCCCGGAAAAAGCCCGTGGCGAGGGCTCTTGCCTCCGGAAGAAGCGGAGAGGTGGTCGGGATTCCTCTTTTTCCATCTGCCCTTGAGAGGCCTTCCCGTGTGTCATCTCAGGGAAGCGCTGCCCCGAACCACCCTCCCAGTGCCTTCTGCGGGCGTTCTGTCTATACCTGGCGCGTCTCCCTCTCGAGAGAGTCGAGTGGTATGTTTATTTCACTTGCTTCCCTCTAGGCTTCGTAGAGGCAGCGACTGGGTCCCCAGCAACTCTGGGAGGTCCTTGGTTTAATTAAATTGTTCCCTTTTGGAAGTATATCCATTGAGGTGCCCCCTAACCACAGTAATAACTAAATTTGGACACTTCGTATATCCCAGCACTGTGCTAAGCACCTTTTGTGCATTTTATTTAATTATCTTTGCAACAGCCCTATGAGGTAAATGGGTGTGGCGTGTGTCTCTTACACATTGGGAAACTGAAGCTTAGTGATTAAATGATTTGCCCAAGGTTATCTGTAGTGAGTGAAACTGGGATTCTAACTCAGTGAGCTGGACTTGAGTCTGAGGTTTTCACACCAGTAGCATAGCTCCTTAGTGGGGAATGCAGCTTTGGCTCTTTTCCTTGGTCCTCAGATAATTACCTAATAATAACATTCATTCAAGAAATTCTTGGCCAGGCGCGGTGGATCACCTGAGGTCGGGAGTTCGAGACCAGCCTGGCCAACACATGGTGAAACCCTGAGTATATTAAAAATACAAAAATTAGCTGGACATGGTGGCAGATGCCTGTAATCCCAGCTACCAGGGAGGCTGAGGTAGGAGAATTGCTTGAACCCAGGAGGCGGAGGTTGCAAAGAGCCGAGATAGTGCCGCTGCACTCTAACCTGGGAGACAAGAGAGAAACTCTTTTAAAAAAAAAAAAAAAAGGGCCGGGTGAGGTGGCTCACACCTGTAATCCCAGCACTTTGGGAGGCCAAGGCAGGCGGATCACTTGAGGTCAGGAGTTCAAGACCAGCCTGACGAACACGGAGAAACCCCGCCTCTACTAAAAATACAGAATTAGCCGGATGGAGAAACCCCGCCTCTACTAAAAATACAGAATTAGCTGGACATGGTGGTGCATATCTGTAATCCCAGCTATTCCAGGTGCTGAGGCAGGAAGATTGCTTGAACCTGGGAGGCAGAGGTTGCGGTGAGCTGAGTTTGTGCCATTGCACTCCAGCTTGGGCGACAAGAGTGAAACTCCATCTCCAAAAAAATAAAAATAAAATAACTTATTTCATGCTCACATCTGCTGGAGCTTTCCTGATATGCTGAATCAGACAGGGTCTCTGCTTTAATGGCACCAACAGTTTCTTGAAGGAAACATGAATTAAGTGCAGAGTAAGTGTAGAATTACAACTGTGGTAAGTGCTATGAAGGAAAGAAGGAACAGTTTGGAAAGCTATTACAAGAAGATGTGTTTGGTTTGGAGAGAGGGACGGGGGCAGGTAGGTATGATGTCATTGGAAACTTCCTGGGTATGTGACCTTTGGAGCTGCAAATGAAAATTGAATATGATTTAACAGCTTATGAGCATCTTTCCAAAGGCTTAAGTGGTTTCTGAGTTCTGAAAGTCAGCTAAATTGATATTAGCCACATACAGACATCTGCATGGGTCAGTCATATAGCCATTTATTCATCAGATATTTAAGAGAGCTTCCTCTATGTGCTGGGCATTGTGGTGTAAGTGCTGGGAATACAGTGATAGGCAAAACAGACATAGTCCCTTCCCTGACAGAGCATATATTAGGGACTCTCTTTTAGAGTCAATTTGCTTTAAAGTCCATGATTTTGGGCCTGGCACAGTGGCTCACATCTTTAATCCCAGCACTATGGGAGGCTGAGGAGGTCGGATTACTTGAGGCCAGGAGTTCCAGACCATCCTGGCCAACATGGTGAAGCCCCATCGCTACTAAAAATACAAAAATTAGCCAGGCGTGGTGGTGCATGCCTGTAGTCCCAGCTACTCGGGAGGCTGAGGCAGGAAAATCGCTTGAACCCAGGAGGAGGAGGTTGCAGTGAGCCAAGATCACACCCCTGGATGACAGAGTGAGACTGTCTCAAAAAATTAAAGTGCATGATTTCAGTAGAACAGCCTGCATTTCTGAGTATATTTTCCTGGCTACTTATTGACTGTTTCCACAGTGGTCCCAGAGGTGAGTGAGATGGATACTACAAAGGCTTCTTATCATCTTGGTGGAAGGCAGTAGAAAGAAAAGGGAAACCTAATAATGGATGAATAGAGAATAAAGAGGAGCTTGTTTTATTACTTAGTATTAATCATTTATGTGTTCTTTAGCAGGGGAAATGTCTGATGAGGAGATCAAAAAGACAACACTAGCTTCAGCTGTAGCCTGTTTAGAAGGGAAGTCACCAGGTGAGAAAGCAGCAATTATCCATCAGCATCTCGGCCGTCGAGAAATGACAGATGTGATCATTGAGACAATGAAGTCCATCCCAGGTATGCTTTCTAAAACCCTGGACTGTCTTTTGTAACATGAACCCTGGTTGCCTATTTTATACATGGTGTTTGATAAGCCTACGATTTTAACATCTAGCATAACTTTTTCACTGCCTGTTTGCTTTATATGACATCGTTAAGCCACATTTTAGTGGAGACTGGGTCTCTGTTGCCCAGGCTAGAGTGCAGTGGTGCAATGTTGTTTCCCTGCATCCTCCGCCTCCTGGACTCAAGCAGTCTTCCCGCCTCAGCCTCCCAAGTAGCTGGGATTACAGTCGCCCTCTACCACACCTGGCTAATTTTTGTATTTTTAGAGGAGACAGGGTTTCTCCATGTTGGCCAGTCTGGTCTCAAACTCCTGGCCTCAAGTGATCCACCCTCCTTGTTCTCCCAAAGTGCTGGAATTATAGGTGTGAGCCACCACACCCAGCCACCAGGGAGAACTTCTTACCACCTAGTTCAGTGGCAGATTATGAATGTGTCCAGATAAACATGTTGTGCCTTCCCCTGCTCTGCTAGCTCATTTCATCTGGGGAAGTGGATGTGTAGATAGTACTACATCTCCAACACGGAAGTGGTCAGAATTGGTAGGTTTGGATTTCAAACTTAGTAGCCTTGAATGTTTTTCCCAGTTAGGATTTCATAATGGAAGCACCTGCTTGCCAAATGTAATAGCCATCCTTGAGTTTCTCAGGGTGTTAATGAGATTTTTATGGGGCAAAGGGAGCTTTAAAGTATGATCCTCTCATAAACTCAGCTGTTCTACAAATATAATTCTTAATGCATTACGTTGTAATTACTCTTTTTTTCCCCTCCTCCTCCCAGTCCCAACACAATATAATTACTCTATCAAAGTTTATTCCTCTGACTTGAAATTTTAATCTAGTTCGAGACTTTGAGCATATGTCCTATCCATTTATAATCTGCTATTTTTTAATTGGTGAAAGATGAACTAAAAACTACAGTGGAAGAAAGAAAGTCCTCAGAAGCATCCCCCACAGCCCAAAGAAGTAAAGATCACAGTAAGGAATGCATAAATGCTGCCCCCGATTCTCCATCCAAACAGCTTCCAGACCAGATTTCATTCTTCAGTGGAAATCCATCAGTTGAAATAGTTCATGGTATTATGCACCTATATAAGACAAAGTAAGAAAACCCTTTTTTCTTTTGGGTTTGTCTAATTTCTTGTTTTTTGTTTTTTGCTATAGGGTAGTCTCTTGCCCTGAAGGGAAGTGGGTATTATTGTAAGCTTTAAAATAATAATACTTTTGTGTATTGTGTGTTAGAAAATTCTCAGATGTTTTACATTTGATTAATCTTGTGGATTGAGTCAAAGCTTTTCCTTATAAGAGAAATGCCAGAAAATATGTTGGAAAATGTATTCTTAGCTGATAGGCATGGAAAGTGATTGGGGAATTGAAAGGACAAAGAAAATGATTGACAGAGTCATTGTAGTCTCATGTCCCCACCAAATCTTTACTGAAGAGGCTGCTGAAGTCGGTTAACTCATTTCAATTTTATCACCTCTTTTTAACCATCTTCTGTGGTTCAGTCAAAAGTCTTGCTGGAGCCCCAAGGAAAGGAAGCATTTGGTTAGATAATCCACAAGCCTGGCCATTACCTCCTTGGATAATTGGTAGGTGATACCTTAAGGCTTTTCTTGTGCTAACTTGTTTGCCATATCCCTATCGGGAAAGTGGTGACTATTCAGGTAGCCATTTTGTGTTTTGTTTTGTTTGAGACAGTGTCTCACTCCATCATTCAGACTGGAGTGCAGTGGTGTGATCCTGACTCACTGCAACCTCCCCTCCCAGGTTCAAGCAATTCTCTCTCCTTGGAGTAGCTGGGACCACCTGTGCATGCCACCACACGCAGCTAATTTTTTTTGGTTGGAGGGAATAGAGATGGGATTTCACCATGTTGGCCAGGCTGGTCTCGAACTTCTGACTTCAGGTGATCAGCCCACCTCAGCCTCCCAAAGTGCTGGGATTACAGTTGTGAGCCACTGCACCCAGCCCAGTTAGCCATTTTGGATCACAACTGTCAAGTGAGTTTACAGCATTTCAAAACACAAATTACACTGTGGGAGGTTTTTCTTTCCTCTCTCTATTCTACTATTCCAGCCACCCCAACCTAGGAACACTTCCTGAAATTTTCAGTTACATCCTCATGGTTTAACATTCTCTCTTATATTTACAGCTCCTTTTCTAGGCCCTTTGAGAGATCCATAGCCAGAGTTGTGCTTTTAACTTACTCAGTGACACATTATTATTCAAACATTGATGAGAGTAAAACACTGCAAATTTGCCTAATGCAGATTTATAACAATAACAAACCTTGAACTGAAGATGAAAAATTTCAATGGGTATAATGTAGAACAGTTCATTTGTGATGTATTACAATTTTTATTTTTTCCTATTTTCTTGGACGTAAAAGTTGTCTGATTAGTGTTGTTTGAACTAACCATACCTCATCTATTCAAGACATTCTATTGTTTTATTAGTAAGATGACCTCCTTAAAAGAAGACGTGAGGCGCAGTGCCATGCTGTGTATTCTCACAGTCCCTGCTGCAATGACTAGTCATGACCTTATGAAGTTTGTCGCCCCATTTAACGAAGTAATTGAACAAATGAAAATCATCAGAGACTCTACTCCCAACCAATATATGGTGCTGATAAAGTTTAGTGCACAGGTAAAGGTTATTAAAAATCTCTTTGCCACAGAAACTGTGTTATTGAAACTGTATGATACTAGCTGTGTTTGATTTACAACATTTTCACGTAAGATTGTTGATATGTCTTCTAAAGTAGAATTGTAATTCTAGATGTATTTTTAAACTCATTAGTAGAAATACAATTATAACATATGCCCATCTTTTTTTTTTTCCCCATCAGTAGAGATGAGATCTTGTTGTGTTGTCCAGGCTGGTATCGAACTCCTGGCCTCAAGCAATTCTCCTGTCTTGGCCTCCCAAAGTTTTGGGATTACAGATGTGAGCTACTGTACCTGGCTATATGCCCATGATTTTTTACGGATCAGATTGGGTATGAAATCTAGGGTTTTGACAGGAGGCAGACATTATGGTAAACTGACATTGCACCACGGCACTCCAGCCTGGGTGACAGAGGACCCTCCTCCTCAAAAAAAGGATGACGCTGCACAGTGGCTCATGCCTATAATCCCAGCACTTTGGGAGGCCGAGGCAGGTGGATCACGAGGTCAAGAGATGGAGACCATCCTGGTCAACATGGTGAAACCCCATCTCTACTAAAAATACAAAAATTAGCTGGGCATGGTGGCGCATGTAGTCCCAGCTACTCAGGAGGCTGAGGCAGGAGAATTGCTTGAACCCAGGAGGCGGACATTGCGGTGAGCTGAGATCGTTCCATTGCACTCCAGCGTGGGTAACAAGAGCAAAACTCCATTTCAAAAAAAAAGGAAATCTAGGGTTTTGTTTTGTGTTTTTGTTTGTTTGAATCAAGTGGTAACTATTCCAGAAAAGCAGTAGTTCCCAAATTTTTTGAAGTTAACACCAGCTTATTATTTTCCATTGCTTCTACTTCTTTCATTCTCTTTTTAAAAGGTGCTCTTTGACACATCTTAGAAAATAAAATCTATTTTATTTTTCTAAAATTTGGCTGACAAGGAATTTTTGTGACATTCCGTAAAGATGCTTTACAGTTCCTGATGGAAAAATCATTGTAATAGAAACACTGAAAGAATGGTATTTTCAGTTTATGAAAGTGCTTGTGCAATATAAAAGATATTTTTTCACATGGGGAGGTTTTGCCATCCACTTTATCTCACTTATTAAGCAGCACTTTCCACATGCCTCAGTCCTAAAGATGTTAGAAAGGTATTCTCTTGTATTTGCATACTCATTCTTAGGAGTATGCATGTTTCTATGCTAATATAAAAATGACATAAACTTCAGGTGTTATACAGGTTATTAAAGTGTTGCCCTGCTGGGCGTGGTGGCTCACACCTGTTATCCCAGCACTTTGGGAGGCCGAGGTGGGCTCATCACATGGTCAGGAGTTCGAAGCCAGCCTGACCAATATGGTGAAACCCCGTCTCAACTGAAAAATGCAAAAATTAGGCAGGCATGGTGGTGTACACCTATAATCCCGGCTATGCGGGAGGCTAAGACAGGAGAATTGTTTGAACCCAGGAGGTGGAGATTGTAGTGAGCTGAGATCGTGCCACTATACTCCAGCCAGGGTGACAGAACAAGAGTCTGTCTCAAAAAAAAAAAAAAAGTGTTGCCCTATCTGTAGATCTCATTCAATTTGGATTTTTCTTTTCTTTTTTTTTTTTTTTTTTTTTTTTTTTGAGATGAAATTTTGCTGTCACCCTAGGCTGGAGTGGATCTTGGCTCACTGCAACCTCCAACTCCCGGGTTTAAGCAATTCTCTTGCCTCAGCCTCCCGAGTAGCTGGGATTATAGCCATGGGCCTGCTAATTTTGTATTTTTAGTAAAGATGGAGTTTCTCCATGTTAGTCAGGCTGGTCTCGAACTCCTGACCTCAGATGATCTGCCTACCTTGGTCTCCCAAAGTGCTGGGATTACAAGCGTGAGCCACCACAACCAGCCGTTTTGTTTGTTTGTTTTTTCTTTTTTTTTTTTAAATAGAGAACAAGTTTTGTTTTGTTTTGTTTTGTTTGAGACAGAGTTTCGCTGTTGTTACCCAGACTGGAATGCAATGGCACGATCTTGGCTCACCGCAACCTCCACCTCCTGGGTTCAAGCAATTCTCCTGCCTCAGCCTCCCAAGTAGCTGGGACTACAGGCGCGTACCAGCATGCCCAGCTAATTTTTGTATTTTTAGTAAAGGCGGGGTTTCACCTTGTTGACCACGATGGTCTCGATCTCTTGACCTCGTGATCCACCTGCCTCGGCCTCCCAAAGTGCTGGGATTATAGACATGAGCCACTGCGCTCGGCCTTGTTTTGTTTTAAGAGATGAGGTCTTGCTCTGTTGCTCGGGCTGGGGTACAGTGGCATGATAATAGCTCATTGCAGCCTCAAACTCCCAGGCTCTAGCAATCCTCCCGCCTTAGCCTTCTGAGTAGCTAGGACTGCAGGCTCATTCCATCATGCCCAGCTTAATTTTGTTTTGTTTTGAGATGGAGTCTCACTCTGTTGCTAGGCCGGAATGCAGTGGCTCGATCTCAGCTCATTGCAACCTCCACCTCCCGGATTCAAGTGATTCTCCTGCCTCAGCCTCCCAAGTAGCTAGGACTATAGGCGCACACCACCATACCAGCTAATTTTTGTATTTTTAGTAGAGACAGAGTTTTGCTGTTACCCGGGATGGTCTGGATCTCCTGACCTCGCGATCCACCTGTCTTGGCCTCCGAAAGTGCTGGGATTACAGGCATGAGTCACCGCTTGCCTGGCCTAAATTTTTTTTAATAGCCTATTGTATTTATCCATTGAAATTGCATTAGATTTTGAAATGCAGCTTTGTCAAAAGTTTGCTTCTCTCTCATGTCAACAGTAGGCAGCCTTCTTGAATTTGCCCCAGATAAGTTTTACCTTGCCGTTTGACAAAAAAATGAGTGTACCTGTAAGATCACTTGCCATTGGAGTCTGACAGGTTTGTGGGTGAAAGGGAGGCCATGACACAAGGCCCACTTGACATGTCCTTTGTTATGGAAATCTAGATTGACAGGACTGGCAGCCATTCAGTGGCCATGTGGAAGAGTGTACCTGTTCGGTGAGCCCCAGAGAAAAGCTTTAGTGTAGAGTTCTGTCTACAAGAGAGTACACAGTTATTATCTTTAATCTTTACAAAGTACCCCATCATTTAGGGAGACATTGAAAACATGTTTCAATTATCTTGTGGATTTAGAGTTTACAAGCTGACATTAAGAACAGAAAAGCTCTTGAATAGCCCCTTTCACTGACCATCAGAAAGCCTTCCGAGGTTGCCAAGGAGCTTTTTAAACCATGGGAAAATCGTGCCTTAATCCATTTCGGTCTGGTAGCACATGTGATAATAAGGATAATGATGATAATATGTAAATTTAGGGCTTCTATATCACTCACTGTGCTAGGTGTTCAACATGCTTTATCTCATTTTAATCTTCATTACAACCCTTTGAGGAGACAGATAGTGTCGTTGTCCTTGTTTTACAGATGAGGAGAGTGACTTCAGAGGGAGAGTAGTGGTTTGCCCAGGGTTACACAGCTAGACATAAATGACAAGCAAGAGTGTCACCCTCGCATTTTTTTTTTTTTTTTTTTTTGGAGACAGAGTTTCGCTCATCATCCAGGCTGGAATGCAATGGTGCATTCTCAGCTCACTGCAGTCTCTGCCTCCTGGGTTCAAGAGATTCTCCTGCCTCAGCCTCCCGAGTTGCTGGGATTAAAGGTGCCCACCACCACACGCAGCTAATTTTGTGTTTTTAATAGAGACGGGGTTTCACCATGTTGGCCAGGCTGGTCTCAAAACCCTGACCTCAGGTGATCCACCCACCTCGGCTTCCCAAAGTGCTGGGATTATAGGCATGAACTACCATTTTGGCCCACCCTCACTTTTAATTCCAAGGGCACACTCCTCTTCTAGTAGGAGTGGGATGAAGGTGTGGGGAAGGGAGATGGTTGTTTGTGAGACATTCTATAACAGCAGTATTGTTATAGTTTCTACTTAACTAAGGGTAATAAGCAAGTAACAAGGGAAAAGACCCAGAAATAGATTAGGAAAAAATGTTTAAGACCATTTAGGCTTTTAAAATAGTCTGAAGTGTTATAAATGCACCACACTCACCTGTTTAATAAACTCACACAGTTCTGCATAATGAGTACTGCCCTTCATAATATACAGGTAATATTGTGGCTATTCACTGTGAATGGATTTTCCTTGTACATCTGCACTGTTGTCTCCCCTTCTGTCTTTTGACCAAGTGAAGGTTGCTCAAGTTGACAGATGTTTTCTGTGACTGTAAAACAGGTTGCTGCATGTTCTTCCCCATGGGGCTGGAACCCTTTATCTTGGTATCGTGAGTTGTATTATTTATTGCTAACTCTGGATCTTAGGGGCTGATCTTATCCTATCAAGGATTTTCTAAGACCTAATACCCTCTTGGTATAAGACTTGAAGTAAATTAATATTGGCTATAATGAGAATAATAGGCTCAGTGGCTACCAACTATTAAGCACCTAAAAGCCTGGACCCTGTGCCAACCACTTTTCATGCATTGTCTCCTTGAATCCTCCCAACAGTGCCATGTTGGCTGGGTGTGGTGGCTCATGCCTTTAATCCCAGCACTTTGGGAGACTGAGGTGGGCGGAACACTTGATGGCAGGAGTTCGAGACCAGCCTGGCAAAGTGGCAAAAGCCCATGTCTACTAAAAATTACCAAAACTAGCAGGATATGGTGGTGCGTGCCTATAATCCCAGTCAGAGGTTGCAGTGAGTCAAGATCATACCACTGCATTCCAGCCTAGGCAGCAGAGCAAGACTGTCTCAAAAAAAAAAAAGAAAAAAGCCATATATTTTATAGTCGAGGAAACAGGCACAGATATGTCACTTGCCCGCAGCTAGAGAGCTAGTAGGTGTCAGAGTTAGGGTTCAAACCTAGGCAGCCTAACTCCATAGCCTGGTCAGCTAACTCCATCTTTATTCTTTTCCTCACCACAGATTTTTAAATAAGGACTCATAAGCCTTCTCTGTATATTTGATAAGTTTTCGAATGTCTGTTGGCCTTAGCTTTAGCTGCAAGAATTGTGAGACCAGGTGCGGTGGCTCATGCCTGTAATCCCCACACTTTGGGAGGCCAAGGCAGGAGGATCATTTAAGGCCAGGGGTTCAAGACCAGCTTGGGCAATATGGCAAGACCCTGTCTCTTAAAAAATTTTTTTTAAAGATCAAAAAAAAAAAAAAAAGGATTGTGCTTATAAACTTGTAGTGTGACTCATAGGAATCTTGGTCTTTGGGTAGACAATTTACAGTTCTTCAGGACATATGAAAAGCAGAAGGAGGTTCAATTTTGTTGTTCTTTGGGGCAGAAAAAGACAGATGACCACTTAATGAGTATATTGGCTCCTTTTCATTTGCATGCTTAGTTACCACAGCCTTAGCAGACGCCTCCTTGGAGAAGTAGGGGTATGTTCTCAACACTGTAGTTGATCCCTGTGACACTGAAGGACCTTGATCATAATGAATTATCTTTTTCTAAGTTCATCCTCAGAAGAGAAAAATAAAAACAAAGAACTGGAAGGAAACAAAGGTCAGGTTTCTTTAAAGTTTTGGCTCCATACAATGCAAACATTTTCAATAAAACCTGTTTCTTTTATGTTCTTTGAGGTTAGCTTCAGGCTTTTATTTAGCGCATTAGATGGTGAGTTGAAGTAGGAACCATGTGAATTTTGTTCCCTACTCTTTTCCTAGTACATAGCACAGTGCCTGGCACATACTAGATGCTTAGAAAATATGTGAACTGGTAAAGGTGCATTTTTAATACCTAAAGAAAAGAACAATATGTTAACTGTGAAACATCAACTGTTTAGTGATATGGTCATTTCAAAAAATTACATTTAAAAATGTTTTTTTATTTCTGTTGCAATCATCCTAGTTTAGGCCACCACAATGTCTCACTTGCATGCCTCTTCTTTTTTATTTTATTTTATTTTTTATTTTTATTTTTGGAGACAAGATCTGGCTCTGTGGTACAGGCTGGAGTGCAGTTCACGGTCTCAGTTCACTGCAACCTTCACCTCCTGGGCTCAAGCAATCCTACCTTAGCCTCCCAAATAGCTGGAACTACAGACTTCCGCCCCCCTGCCCAGCTAATTTTTTGTAGAGACAAGATTCTACCACATTGCCCAGGCTGGTCTCAAACTTCTGGGCTCATGTAATAGAAAGGAATAATTCATTGAATGGATTAGGTCACATGCTTTGTCCTTTCCTCTGAGGGGCCTGGTCCTTTAGTGAGCATTTGTAGAGCTCTAGACCCCAGGAGGTCTTTGCCAGCCCCTGGTGGTGCCTGAGGCTCTGAGGAAATGAGTGGAGGCCCTGACTTTGAGGCAGTGGGTTTTCTCCTGGCGAATCCATGTGTTGACTTTGCTGCTTACTCAACCAAAACCATTTTAAGAAGAAACCGTTGTTCTGACGAATGGGGGAAGCGATCTTAGGTTGTAACTTCTTAGTATTAAAGAGACTTCTTGTTCAACAGCTGACTTTAACATTTTGAAGTTAGAATATGCTGTGTTCAATACACGGATTACCTACATGGATTACTTCCTTAAGTAAAGCTTCCCAACCCCAACCTCCCACCACTCTGCCCCTCCAAAATAAAAGTACATTCATAATTGATCATCCTTCCTCTGCTGCTTAGCTCACTTGGTCATATTAAGAAAGCATAAGGAGGCCGGGCGCAGTGGCTCACACCTGTAATCCTAGCACTTTGGGAGGCCGAGGCGGGCAGATCAAGACCATCCTGGCCAACATGGTGAAACCCCGTCTCTACTAAAAAATACAAAAATTATCTGGGCGTGGTGGCGTGCACCTGTAGTCCCAGCTACCAGGGAGGCTGAGGCAGGAGAATTGCTTGAACCCAGGAGGTGAAGATTGCAGTGAACCAAGATTGTGCCATTGTACTCCAGCCTGGTGACAGCAAGACTCTTGTCTCAAAAAAAAAAAAGGAAAGCATAAGTAAGGACTGGGCATGGTGGCTCATGCCTATAATCCCAGGACTTTGGGAGGTCAAGGTGGGTGAGTCACCTGAGGTTGGGAGTTCGAGACCAGCCTGACCAACATGGAGAAACCTCGTCTCTAAAAAAATAAAAAAATGTGGCCGGGTATGGTGGTATATGCCTGTAATCCCAGCTACTCAAGATGCTGAGGCAGGAGAATCACTTGTACCTAGGAGGCAGAGGTTGCAGTCAGCCATGATCATGTCATTGTACTCCAATCTGGGCAACAAGAGTGAAGTTCCATCTCAAAAAAAAAGCAAAAGTAGCCAGGCTCACCCCTATAATCCTAGCACTTTGGGAGACCGATGCTGGTGGATTGCCTCAGCTCAGGAGTTTTGAGACCAGCCTGGGCAACTCGGTGAAACTCTGTCTCTACTAAAATACAGAAAATTAGCAGAGTGTGGTGGCATGTAATCCCAGTTACTCGGGAGGCTGAGACAGGAGAATCTCTTGAACCCGGGAGATGTAGGTTTCAGTGAGCCGAGATTGTGCCATTGTACTCCAGCCTGGGCAATAGAGCAAGACTCTGTCTCAAAAAAGGAGGAAAGCATAAGTAATCAAGAATCCACAATTATTTCATTGGAGGGTAATTAAAAGCTACTGAGTAGCTTACAGTATCTGTGAGATTCAGAACCCTGTGAGGGTGGACAGGCAGGACTATATTTACCTGTCACAGCCTTGAATCTGAAGCTTCCTTAAGGTTGATGATGCCGCATTTCCTTTTGCAGAATTCCCAGAAGCAGCCTCTCAGTGCTGGTAGGGCCAAAGCACACAGCTTCATTTTTTTGAGCTAATGCCTGTGTGGGAATTAAATCCAGAGAAGCCTTGGCTTTCCTGCTTGCCTCAAAAAATTGGCTGAGTTTAAAAACTGGAATCATCAGACACAGTGGCTCACACCTGTAATCCCAGAACTTTGGGAGGTTGAGGCAGGTGAATCACAAGGTCAGAAGTTCGAGACCAGCCTGGCCAACATAGTGAAACCCCATCTCTACTAAAAATACAAAAAATTAGCCAGGCATGGTGGCGAGAGCCTGTCATTTCAGTTACTCAGGAGGCTGAGGCAGGAGAATAGCTTGAACCCAGGAGGGGGAGGTTACAGTGAGCCAAGTGCATTGCACTCCAGCCCAGGCAACAGTGTGAGACCCCGTCTAAATAAACAAACAAACAGACAAAGAAAGTCTTTAATCATCTCTGTTGTTGCTTTCTGCTGAGACTAGACAAGAAGGTTCCATTTACCTGCAACCATTTCATAGAGACACATGTGCCTTTGCAGCTTTGCCTTGAGAGAAACAGCTCTCTACATTTCACCCATTTTTCTACTGCAAAGGAATGAGACTGTTAGTTTTTTTTCCCCCCCCCCCGACCGAGTAGCTGGGATTACAGGCGCCTGCCACCATGCCCAGCTAATTTTTGTATTTTAAGTAGAGACCAGGTTGACCTCAGGTGATTCACCCGCCTGGACCTCCCAAAGTGCTGGGATTTAAAGGCTGGTTCTTGGGCCTCTTGACCTTGAAACTGACCAAGAGCTTTGCTTTTGATATTGGACACTAGGTAGCAGTTTAAGACCTCCTGATGGGATCCATTACATTGGATCTATCATGTATTGTTGTTATTTGGTTTATTAAAGAGTAGTTGGTTTTTCATCTCATACCAGTTCCCCTGGTCTTTTATTTTTTTCTAACGTAAATCATAAATACATTTTTCTTTTTCTTTTTCTTTTTCTTTTTTTTTTTTTTTGAGACAGCGTTTCGTTCTTGTTGCCCAGGCTGGGCGATCTTGAGTGCAATGGCACGATCTTGGGCTCCCACAACCTTCACCTCCTGGGTTCAAGCGATTCTCCTGCCTCAGCCTCCTAAGTAGCTTGGATTACAGGCATGGGCCACCATACTGAGCTAATTTTTTATTTTTAGTAGAGACAGGGTTTCTCCATGTTGGGCAGGCTAGTCTTGAACTCCCAACCTCAGGTGATCCACCCACCTTGGCCTCCCAAAGTACTGGGATTATAGGCATGAGCCACCTCGCCCAGCCCAGTGCTGATGGAAGAGTAATTTTATAACAAGTATCAGTTATGATTTGGTTCCAGGCTTTGCAGAAATGATTGTGTACTTTCAGCTGCACAAGTGATGACTAGAGGGGAAAAAAAACTGCTGTACAGGGAAATGTTGACTGTTGCTGGTTGAATATGGAAATTGTACCAGCTTTCAGCTTACTGCACTTAAATACCTTTTGCCAGTTCGGGAAAAAACTTTGTCGTAGCCCAGAAAACATTGTAGACATAGGATATTGACCTACAGAGTGTGATTACCCTAGCAATCAACTTCAGTAGATGTGACTTGGTAGTTGCTTTGTCTGCTAAGTATAAATTTTAAAGCTGATGAGAATGGATAAAGCCATACATATTGAATATAGAGCAGATTTTCAGGGTACCTGTCTTAAATTTTTTCTTTTCCTCATTGGTGTACATAGGCTGATGCGGATAGTTTTTATATGGCATGCAATGGCCGCCAGTTCAACTCAATAGAAGATGATGTTTGCCAGTTAGTGTATGTGGAAAGAGCTGAAGTGCTGAAATCTGAAGATGTAAGTGTGAATTATTCCTATATTTGATTAAAATATATTAGATTGGTATAAAATTGAATGCCAAGGTATCTGTGAAGTACCCAGAATAGACCAGTCCATAGACACAGAAAGCAGATTAGTGGTTGTCAGAGCTGTTGGAAGAGACAAATGGGGAGTGCCTGCTAACAGCACAGGCTTCCTTTTGGATATGATGGAAATGTTCTAGCATTAGATAGCGGGGACAGTTGCACAACCTTGTGGCTATACTACAAGCCAATGAACACTTAAGAGAATTTTATAAAATGTTATCTCATTTTCTAAAGTTGCAAAAATGTAAAAAGAAAAAAGATACCGGCTGGACGCAGTGGCTCACGCCCATAATCCCAACACTTTGGGAGGCTAAAAGTGGGCAGATCACCTGAGGTCAGGAGTTCAAGACCAGCCTGGCCAACATGGCGAAACACCGTCTCTACTAAGAACACAAAAATGTAAAAAAGGTGTTCTTAGTAGAACACATTTTTGTTCTACTAAGAACACAAAAAATTAGCCAGGCATGGTAGCGCATGCCTGTAATCCCAGCTGCTTGGAAGGCTGAGGCAGGAGAATTGCTCGAACCCGGGAGGTGGAGGTTGCAGTGAGTTCAGATCACGCCATTGCATTCCAGCCTGGGCAACAAGAGGAAAACTCAGTCTCAAAAAAAAAAAAGATACTGCATTGTTGTTGAAATTGAGTGTTCATCAATTCTAGATCAATGAAGCATTGATTGCCTGGAACTGAAAATAAATGTTTTAGTTTTTAATATTAACCCTTAATTGTCTTCCTAATTCTTGTTTTAGCCTTTATTTTTGAGATAGGGTCTCACTTTGTCACCTAGGCTGGAGTATAGTGGTGTGATCTTGGCTCACTGCAGCCTTGATCTCTCCGGTTCAAGCATCTTTCAGCCTCAGCCTCCTGAGTAACTGGGACTACAAGCTTGTACCACCAGGCCTGGCTAATTTTTTTGTAGAGACAAGATTACCCTGGCCACGTGCAGTGGTTCCTGCCTATAATCCCAGCACTTTGGGAGGCTGAGGTGACAGATTGCCTGAACACAGGAGTTCAAGACCCAGGCTGGGCAACATGACGAAACCCTATCTCTGCAAGAAATACAAAAATTAGCCAGGTGTGGTGCTCAGCACCTTTTGTCCCAGCTACTTGGGAGGCTGAAGTAGGAAGATGACATGAGTCAGGGGAGGTCCAGGCTGTAGTGAGCCGTGAATACGCCATTGCACCCTAGCCTGGGCAACAGTGTGACCCTATCTCAAAAAAAAAAGTCAGTCTCCCTATGTTACCCAGACTGTTCTTGAACTCTTGAGCTCAAGTAGTCCTCCTACCTTGTCCTTCCAAAATACTGGGATTATAGGCGTGGGCCACCATGCTTGGCCTCTTGATTCTATTTTTTTGTTAGTTTGTTTTGGAGACAGAGAGTCGCCCTGTCACCCAGGCTGAAGGGCAGTGGTGCAGTCGTTGCTTACTGCAACCTCCACTCCCTGGGTTCAAGCGATTCTCATACCTCAGCCTCCCTAGTAGCTGGAATTACAGGCATATGCCACCATGTCGGGCTAATTTTGTAATTTTATTGGAGACTGGGTTTCACCACATTGGCCAGGCTGCTCTCCAACTCCCTGCCTCAAGTGATCCACCCACCTTGACCTCCCATAGTGCTGGGATTACAGGCAAGAGCCACAGTGCTCAGCCTTGATTCTGTTTTGATAGCAATTTGTAATGGTTCTTATCTTCCACTCCCTTGGGAACCTTTCCTACATTATGGGCTCACTTGAATCATTTTATCAAGTAGCAGATATGGCTATGTGATATTTTTAAGATCAAGATTTTCTTTTTCTTTTCTTTCTTTTTTTTTTTTTTTTTTTTTTTGAGACATGAGTCCTACTCTGTTACCCAGGCTGCAGTGCAGTGGCGTGTTTCCAGCTTTCTGTAACCTCTACCTCCTGGGTTCAGGACATAGTTGTGCCTCAGAATCCCAAGTGGCTGGGACTACAGGAATGCGCCACAACACCCAGCTAATTTTTGTATTTTTAGTAGAGTCTAAACAGGGTTTCGCTTTTGTATTTTTAGTAGAGTCTAAACAAGGTTTCGCCATGTTGACCCGGTTGGTCTCAAACTTCTGACCTCAGGTGATCTGCTCACTTTGGCCTCCCAAAGTGTTAGGATTACAGGCATGACCCATTGCTTCCAGCCAGATTTTCTTTCTTTTAAAGTAGACCTGGGCCAGACGCAATGTCTCATGCTTGTAATCCCAGCATTTTGGGAGGCTGAGGTGGGCGGATAACCTGAGATCAGGAGTTTGAGACCAGCCTGGCTAACATGAAGAAACTCATCTCTACTAAATATGCAAAAATTAACCAGGTGTGGTGGCACATGCCTGTGGTCCCAGCTACTTGGAAGGCTGAGGCAGGAGAAGTGCTTAAACCTGAGAGACAGAGGTTGCAGTGAGCCGAGATCACACCACTGCACTCAAGCCTGGGCGACAGAGCAAGACTCCATCTAAAAAAACTAAAATAAAAAAATTAAGTAGCCATGACGATCTTTTTACCTTGAGTTCTGAGTAGATTATTTTAGCATTCGATTAGGTGAAATCAAAATTCGATACGTGGGCGGCAGGGGAAAATGGCGGACGGAAAGACAGGAGAGGAGAAGCCTAAAAAGTTGCATTGAGCTGGAGCCGCCAGAGGACCTGAAGAAGAAGCAGAAAAACCTGTGAAAACTAAGGGTGTTTCTTCCAGTAATGGGGGGGAAGGTTCCAGTCGCAGTGCTGAGAAGCCATCAGCTGAAGAAAAAGCTGCAGACCTCCCAACAAAGCCTACAAAGATCTCCAAGTTTGGATTTGCCATAGGTAGTCAGATGACAAAGAAAGCATCAGCCATATCCATCAAACTTGAATCAAGTGAGCCTAAAGAAACTGTTCCATCTCCTGCTCTAAAACCTTTCAGTAGCAGCAGCTTTTACTGAAGATATGAAGATTGTGAACCAGAGGAAATGCCTTCAGAAGCAAAGATAAGGATGAAGGATATTGGAAGGATACACCAACATCAGCTGAACTAAACTCCTTCAATAAAGGAAAGCATGGGTTTTCTGATAACCGGAAACAATGGAGCGAAATATAAAATCTCATCTTGGAAATGTCCATGACTGAGACAGTTAAACGACGTTTTGAAACTGGGGTGTAGGGTAGGTGTAAGGTTAAAAGGAACAGTTTCCTTTTTTAAAGAATGCTATAAGACCATCTTTGGTGCCGCTTTTTTTTTTAGAAGATTGAGTGGTACACTAATAAATGAGACTTTGAAATTAGAGGTAATTTATGTTTTATATACAGATTTCAAGACATTTGCTAATTTTGTAGTTTCATGTGATTAGTTTCCAAAGGTTACAGATAATACTAAAGAAATCAGAAATGGTACCTTTTTAAGAATTGTGTGTTTTTTTTAGACACAACTATTAGCACATTAAGAGGGAAGCAAAGCTGGATGCCATGGCTTATGCCTGTAATCCCAGCACTTTGGAAGGCTGAGGCCAGCAGATCACCTGAGTTCAGGAGTTTGAGACCAGTCTGACCAACATGGAGAAACCCCATCTCTACTAAAAATACAAAAAATAATCTGGGTGTGGTGGCACATGCCTATAATCCCAGCTACCCCAGAGGCTGAGGCAGGAGAATGTCTCAAAAAAAAAAGAAGAAAAAAAGGTCAGGCATGGTGTTCATGCCTGTAATCTCAGCACTTTGGGAGGCCGAGGTGAACAGATCATGAGGACAGGAGTTCGAGACCAGCCTTGCCAATATAGTGAAACCCCGTCTCTACTAAAAATATGAAAATTAGCCAGGCGTAGTGGTGCATGCTTATTATAGTCCCAGCTTCTCCGGAGGCTGAGGCAGGACTTGAACCTAGGAGGCAGATAGTGCAGCAAGCCAAGATTGCTTGAACCTAGGAGGCAGATAGTGCAGCAAGCCAAGATTGCTTGAACCTAGGAGGCAGATAGTACAGCAAGCCAAGATTGTGCCAGTGCACTTCAGCCTAGGCAACAGAGCAACACTCCTCAAAAAAAGACGGAAGCAAAAAGTTATTGTCTATTTAAAACTACAAGCAGTTACTCTCTTAACTCCCTTATTTACCTAAACTTGTCTAGCTTCCAGGAACAGCCTTATACAAGAGGGAGTATTGTATTGGGAGGAAAATGTTACTGAAATATTAACTGACAATAATTTTAGACAAAATTAAAATACAGCTTTTTTCCTTATGGGCATTTGTGTTGTTTCAAGTCATCATAAACTAGGTATTACATTACTCAGTGGATACAGATGCTCAGCTCTTAAAATAATTTCTTTTTTTTCCGATCAGGCGCAGTGGCTTACACCTGTAATCCCAAACACTTTGAGAGGCTGAGGCGGGTGGATCACAAGGTCAGGAGTTTAAGACCAGCCTGGCCAATATAGTGAAACCCTGTCTCTACTAAAAATACAAAAAAAATTAGCCGGCATGATAGTACACACCTGTAATCCCAGCTATCCAGGAGGCTGAGGCAGGAGAATTGCTTGAACTCAGAAGGTGGAGGTTGCAGTAGCCGAGATCAGGCCATTGCACTCCAGCCTGGAAGCAGAGCGAGACTCCGTCACAAAAAAAAAAAAAAAAAAATTGAACAGTTTACATAAAAAGAAAAATAATTTTTTAAATGTAATTTCCATTAATTCCTTTGTAGTCCATTATAGTCATAGACAGAGCTTGAGCTAAAAGTCTGGTCACATTTGAAATTTATATGTTAAAGTTTTGACAGCAGTCTTTCTTACTGGAATGTCAGTTCTGTGAGAGCAGAGATCTTTGTTTTGTTCACCACTGTGTTCCCAGTACCTGGCACAGTGCCGGAATATAGGAGGTACTCCATCCTATGTTTCTTGAATGAATGAATACATAAATGAAAATATTACCAATTTAAATGACTTGCTGAGAGTAATGATACTGAGAATATTCTGCTAAGAGTCAAAAAAAGCAGCTAGAAAACTTATTAAAAGAAGAAAAGCCTGGCCTGGTGGCTCATGCCTGTAGTTTCCAGCTACTGGGGAGCCTGAGGTAGGCAGATTGCTTGAGCCTAGAAGGTCAAGGCTGTAATGAGCCGTGATTGCACCACTGCGCTCCAGCCTGGGTGACAAGCAAGACCCTGTATCAAAAAAAAAAAAAAAAAAGGAAGGAAAAATGAAGTATTGCTGGTAGATGAAGAGTGAGGCTTATGTGAAGTGTTTCCTGTAGGGCGCCAGCCTCCCGGTGATGGACTTGACTGAGCTCCCCAAGTGCACGGTGTGTCTGGAGCGCATGGATGAGTCTGTGAATGGCATCCTCACAACATTGTGTAACCACAGCTTCCACAGCCAGTGTCTACAGCGCTGGGACGACACAACGTGAGTGCAGGGGCCAAACCCCACTGTGTACGAGCCCATTGTGACCCTTTCCAGAATTAAAGAGAGCCACCAGCAGAAATGAACCATTCCGAGTATTTGACTTTATAAACCTGACATCATTATGGTCAAGAGGTCCTTTTTCTCCTCCTGTTTCCTAAGTTTATGGAATCGGCATTCTTAGACCAAGTCCTTTTTAGTATGCTGATTCAGAACCCCTGTGGAATTCCCCAAAGCAGCGTGAGCTGTTCTTTCCTTCCAAGAGCCAGAGTGGGAAAAAAGAAAAAAGAAAAAGAATAAAGCTTAGTTTGAGGCTCTCATGCAGCAATGAAATCTAGGTCTGAGGCCGGGCGCGGTGGCTCACGCCTGTAATCCCAGCACTTTGGGAGGCCGAGTTGGGTGAATCACGAGGTCAAGAGATAGAGACCATCCTGGTCAACATGGTGAAACCCCGTCTCTATTAAAAATACAAAAAATTAGCTGGGCATGGTGGTGCGTGCCTGTAATCCTAGCTGCTCAGGAGGCTGAGGCAGGAGAATTGCCTGAACCCAGAAGGCGGAGGTTGTGGTGAGCCGAGATCGCGCCATTGCACTCCAGCCTGGGTAACAAGAGTGAAACTCCGTCTCAAAAAAAAAAAAACTAGGTCTGAAATCTCATGTATCAGTTACACTTGGTGTCTGCCATTCACTCTGGCTTTCTTATCAACTAGGCTACAGCAGCCTAATGTTTTAGCTTTGCTGGGCTGTTGATGGCTTGGTGGCCAGCAGAAATAGCAGTTACTAAGTATGAGGCCTACTCTATGGTCTCCTGATTCCCAACATACCAGGTCTTAGTCATAGGTGATGTTGCTACAGACAAAGAAGAGGTGGGGCCTGTACCTATTTTTTATCCCCTAAATCAAGAATGGTTTCTCCCTTTGCAAACTGCACTGTGGGACTTAACCACAAAGGTATTATCAGACCCTGGCCTCCTGGATTTCCCAGTACAGAGGGGAACTCAGAATGAAACCACACAAGTAAATAAGTCACAGCCATAACCAGTGTTACAGAAGAGCAGTGTTCTGCATTGGGACTGAGAACTGGGGCCCTAGTGAAGCCAGGACCGCCTGAGAAGTGGCATTTCCAGGAGGATAATTAAGAGTTAAGCTGGGTAAAGAGCATAACCAAGAGAAGGCAGTGGGGAACGAGGAAGATCATGTTCCCAAGCACAGAAGTGAGGAGGGGTAAAGTCTGCAGGAATCTCTGTCCACCCACAAGTGGCCTGGTGGCTGTAAGAAGAATGTCAGCTTCACAGAGCAGGGGCTGTGCCTGGCTTGCTGTCTGCTATACCTCTCACACCTTGTGGGGGATGTGGCACAGGAAGAAGTCAGTAGATTCTGGGGAAGACATAAATAAACTGGGTCTCTGCAGATTATCTCTGCCCTGCTTATTTAGCTGGATGAGAGTCTTGCCCCAGTTTCCTGGAGTCCTCAGTCAATTCTCAGATATCATTTGGGAGTTTTTCAAGTAGTTGCCCCACTGCCTTGAACAAAGCCACACTGAGATATATGCATTCCTTAAAGTGTTTATCTGTGGCCAGCGCAGTGTTTCTCGCCTATAATCCCAGCACTTTAGGAGGCCAAGACGGGCAGATCACCTGAGGTCAGGAGGTCAAGACCAGCCTGGCAGACGTGGTGAAACCCCATGTCTACTAAAATTACAAAAAATTAGCTGGGCATGGTGGCTCACTCCTATAATCCCAGCTACTCGGGAGGCTGAGACAGGAGAATCGCTTTCAACCTGGGAGGTGGAGGTTGTAATGAGCCAAGACTGCACCATTGCACTCCAGCCTGGGCAACAGAGTGAAACTCTGTCTTTAAAAAAAAAAAAAGTGGGCCGGGCGCAGTGGCTCACACCTGTAATCCCAGCACTTTGGGAAGCCAAGGTGGGTGGATCACGAGGTCTAGAGATCGAGACCATCCTGGTCAACAAGGTGAAACCCCGTCTCTACTAAAAATACAAAAAATTAGCTGGGCACGGTGGTGCATGCCTGTAATCCCAGCTACTCAGGAGGCTGAGGCAGGAGAATTGCCTGAACCCAGGAGGTGGAAGTTGCAGTGAGCCGAGATCGTGCCATTGCACTCCAGGCTGGGTAACAAGAGCGAAACTCCATCTCAAAAAAAAAAGTCTTTATCTGTATCTTGGGTCTATCTGCTTTACCAGTTAAATTCTAGGCACTTCTTTGTTCCCCGCCACTCCAGTTGTACTTTTTCTTTTGAGACAGGGTCTCACTCTGTTGCCCAGGCTGGAGTGCAGTGATAGGATCACAGCTCACTGCTCCCTCAAACTCCTGGGTTCAAGTGATCCTCCCACCTCAGCTGGGACTACTGGTGTGCACCATCACACCCAGCTACTTTATTTATTTTTTTTGTAGAGATGGGGGTCTCACTATGTTGTCTCTGGGCTCAAACTCCTAAACTCAAGCAGTATTCCTGCCTTGGTCTTGCAAAGTGCTGGGATTATAGGCATGAGCCATGATACCCATCCCAAGTATTCCTTTTGATATAAATTAACTGTTATAGAACCATAGCATTTTAAAGTTGGAAGTTTCCTCCAGAACCATCTTGTCCCACCACCTCATTTTGTAGAGTAGGAAGATACTGAGGCCCAGAGATGAGAATCTGCAAGCTCAAAGGGTCATGGCCAGAGAATGCCAGAACTGGGAGTAGAATTCAGCCCATCATATGGGGGGGTGTAAGTCATGGCATTTGCCCTCAAAATTATGCAGTTCATTTAGTGAATGGGTTTTGAGCCTTGGTGTATGCGTAGAACCGTGAGAGATGGTGAGACAGAGGAAGCAAACTCAGCTCCTCCTTGGCATGGTTTGGTCTAAGAGAGTTTACACTTCTATATAAATGCATGTGGTTCAGGGTGGAGATTGGAAGAAAGAGCAATAGCATCCCCATCCAGGGGTGCTCAGGAAGGGCTGCAGTAGGAGGCAGTGTTGGTCTTTTTGACACACAGAGATGTCAGAGAAGGCCATTTTGGAAAGATCTCATCAGGAAAATAAGATAAAATTATTTTTGCAGAGAATGACAGGAAGAATTTAATAAGCTGTCAATAATAATATTATTTTTGAGACAGAGTCTCACTCTGTCACCCAGGCTGGAAGGCAGTGCATGATCTTGACTCACTGCAACCTCCACCTCCCGGGTTCAAGCGGTCTTTGTGCTTAGCCTCCCAAATATCTGGGTCTACAGGTGCACACCACTACACCTGGCTAATTTTCTATTTTTAGTAGAGATGGGGTTTCACTGTGTTGTCCAGGCTGGTCTCAAACTGCTGACCTCAGGTGTCCACTCATCTCAGCCTCCTGAAGGGCTGGGATTACAGGCAACAGCCTCAGTGCCTGGCTGATAAACTGGTTTTTTTTTGAGACGGAGTTTCGCTGTTGTCACCCAGACTAGAGTGCAATGGCACGATCTGGGCTCACTGCAACCTCCGCCTCCTGGGTTCAAGCAATTCTCCTGCCTCAGCTTCCCGAGTAGCTGGGACTACTGGCGCGCACCACCATACCCAGCTAATTTTTGTATTTTTAGTAGAGGCGGGGTTTCACCTTGTTGACCAGGATGGTCTTGATCTCTTGACCTCGTGATCCACCCGCCTCGGCCTCCCAAAGTGCTGGGATTATAGGCGTAAGCCACCGCGCCCGGCAAACTGTTGTTTTTTAGTAGACAGATAAGGTGGTATATCATAGATTGCTAGTTGTTTTTATAAGTTTATTTTTGTAGTATTTTTTTCTTCTCAAGATCAGATTTACATTTCAGAAAGAGATTGTTGTTGTTGTTTGTTTTGTTTTGTTTTTGAGAAGGGCTTCTGCTACATTGGCCAGGGTAGACTTGGCCTCAAGCTGTCCTCCCGCCTCGGCCTCCCAAAGTGCCGGGATTACAGATGTGAGCCACTGCGCTTGGCCTATTTTCTTATTCAGCTACTTTCACAGCCACCACACAGACCAAAGGGATGAGACAAAGCTAATTTCTACCTCTAGCAAGACTGCATGCTGCTTTCTGGCTATCATTTCTGTTCTTTGTTCAAGTTTGTCTTCTCTCTTCTCTTTTGATGCTACAGGAAGAAGCAGACTGGATCCTTTCACTTTCCCTTACACAGATAGAGCTGGGTCATCTGTGACACACACTTAGTGTTCTTCCTGCTTATTCCCTTTTATTGGTTTATTTACTCAGTTGGGTAACAAACTGTTACTAGTTATATCTTGAAAATTGTTTCTTCCTGGTGCCAGTTCAGTCAGCCTCAGCTATAACCCCCTTTCTGCCTACTTGCCCATATAACAGAAATACTCATGATTAGTATTTAGCATTATTTTGTGTGGAGTATAACAGAAAGCAGTAATGGACTTTTTTGACATTGTTTTTATTGTCTTTTTGTAAATTGAGACATGAATGCTCAATAGAGCACTGGTATCTTCTACATCATGTTCATGGTACAGTGAGATGTCATGTGCATTTCAATAAGGACATTAACACCTTTGCGTTTAGCCAGGCACAGTGGCTCATGCCTGTAATCCCAGCATTTTGGGAGGCCGAGGCGGACAGTTCACTTGAAGTCAGGAGTTCAAGACCAGCATGACCAATATGGTGAAACCTTGTGCCCACTAAAAGTACAAAAATTAGGTGGGGATTGTGGTGCATGCCTTTAGTCCGCTATTTGGGAGATTGAGCAGGAGAATTGTTTGAACCTGGTTGGCAGAGGCTGTAGTAAGCACTGCACTCTAGCCTGAGCAACAGAGCAAAACTCTATCTCAAAAAACAAGAAACCCTTTGCTTTTAATTTGGTAAAATTTCCTACAGATTTTAAATCCAACACTTGGAAGCAACCTGGAGAAGACAGGTTACTTTTTGTATGATTGAAATCTTTGGGAAATGGGGATAAGGTAGATTGTTTGGAGTAGAAATGGGTTATAGGTTGGGCGTGGTGGTTTACGCCTGTGATCCCAGTACTTTGGAAGGCTGAGCAGGTGGATCACCTGAGAGGTTGGGAATTCGAGACCAGTCTGACCAACATGGAGAAACTCTGTCTCTACTAAAACTACAAAATTAACCAGGCGTGGTGTCGCATGCCTGTAATCCCAGCTACTTTGGAGGCTGAGGCAGGAGAATCACTTGAACCTGGGAGGTGGAGATCATGGTTTGCTGAGATCGTACCACCTGGGCAACAAGAGCAAAACTCTGTCTCATAAAAAAGAAAAAAAAGACATTATGGTCAGACATGAAATGAAGTCCTGTTAGTCACCTGTAAATACTTAGCCTTTGATCATCCAAGCTTTAGACAGTAAAGCAGAAAAGGACATGAGGCAGATCCCAATTTCTCCATTCTTCTCTGTTTTATCTAGATTTTGAATATTTTTATTTTGTTTGAGAATAGTACAAAAATGTTAGTCATTTAAGTGATGTCCTTAGTTACAATAAACTTAAAAATAGCATATAAGAGGAGGAGGATATAAAGTCCAGTGTTTGACTTTTGGGTTCTGTAACAGCTGTCTTTTATATTTAACCTGCACCATTATCTTTTGGTGTCCTGGATAGGTGTCCTGTTTGCCGGTACTGTCAAACGCCCGAGCCAGTAGAAGAAAATAAGTGTTTTGAGTGTGGTGTTCAGGAAGTAAGTAATGGGTGATGGAAAAGAACAAAGAATGCAGCTTTAATTGTTGTGCGTTTTCTTCTACCTGGTATGACTTAAGTTCTTTTTAGTTTTTGTTTGTTTAAGAAACAGGGCTTACTCTGTTGCCCGGGCTGGTCCCAAACTCCTGGCCTTAAGCAGTCCTCCCACCTCAGCCACCCACAGTGCTGGGATTGCAGGTATGAGACACTGTGCCCAGCCTAAATTCTTTTCGAGACTGATTTTTCTTTTTGTCTAGGGTCAGGCAAGCCATATGAATACACAAATTACGTTACTCCTGAGCTTAATTTATTCCTTTTTCCTTTGCACTTTTGAAAGGTTTAGACTTTTACTGAAAATTTTTGAATTTTTTTCTTGCTATTCATATAGTGCTCTTTAGAAATCAGCAAGAAAATGACCCATAAAAGAATCCTTGATTGTTGGATTTTAAACATACATTTAGGTTGGGCATGGTGGCTCACTCTTATAATCCCAGCACTTTGGGAGGCCGAGGCATGTAAATGATGAGGTCAGGAGTTCGTTACCAGTCTGGCCAACATCGTGAAATGCCGTCTCTACTAAAAAATACAAAAATTAGTCAGGCATGGTGGTGTGCACCTGTAATCCCTCCTACTCAGGAGGCTGAGTCAGGATAATTGCTTGAACCCAGGAGGCAGATCACACTACTACACTCCAGCCTGGGCAACAGAGCAAGACTCCATCTCAAAACAAAGCATACATTTAATCAGACTCCTGTAGAAACAATTCTGTTTTTTTGTTTTGTTTTTGTTTGGTTTTTGCTTTTGTTGTTGTTTTTGTTTTTGTTTTTTTGAGACAGGGTGTCATTCTGTTACCCAGGCTGAAGTGCAGTGGCATGGTCATAGTTCACTGTAACCTCAAAAGGGGCTCAAGCCTTCCTCCCGTCTCTGCCTCCCAAGCAGCTGGGACCACAGATGCATGCCACCACGCCCTAGTTTTGTTTGTTTGTTTGTTTGTTTGTTTTTGGTAGAGTTAGGGTCTTGCTATATTGCCTAAGCTGGTCTTAAACTCCTAGGCTCAGACGATCCTCCTGCCTTGGCCTTTCAAAATGCTGAGATTATAGGTGTGAGTCACTGTGCCTGACCGATAAGTCTGTCTTCTGTGTTAAGCCCCTTCCCACTCTGAGCTGGATCATGTATTTTTATTTAACTAATTAAGATCTTACCTCTTCCGACAGAACCTTTGGATTTGTTTAATATGTGGCCACATAGGATGTGGACGGTATGTAAGTCGACATGCTTATAAGCACTTTGAGGAAACGCAGCACACATATGCCATGCAGCTTACCAACCATCGAGTCTGGGACTATGCTGGAGGTGAACACCACTCTCATTTTCTAATTTGGACTCATTCTCCGTGGAAACTTTGCCTTCGAAATCTCTTCACTTTTCCTCCCAGCTTGAAATGTCATCTTGCTGACAGCTGTTGCAAACCCAAATTCTCAGTTTCCCTGAGGGCACTATTTTCCTAGGAATGGCTTGAATCACACATTATAAAGGGAGTTAATACTTCCACTCTTGCTCTCTCCCTCCACTCTAAAATTCAAATGATTTGACAGTTTCAAAGAAATGTTGTAAGGCATTTAATTTAGATCTGAAAAAACAAAAATTTTATCAGAGTTAAAAGTGTACAGAGAGAGACCCTTTTCATTCTAAAGAAACACGCTTTCATTGACTCTTTCTTTAGATAACTATGTTCATCGACTCGTTGCAAGTAAAACAGATGGGAAAATAGTACAATATGAATGTGAGGGGGATACTTGCCAGGAAGAGAAAATAGATGCCTTACAGTTAGAGGTAAGAGACTTAATGAGTTGTTACTCAGTATGTTTCTACTGCTGTTCACTATTCTAATTTGAAACATTTGTCATTTACCTGCATGTAAATTTTTTTTTAAACTTCGGTAATGGCCTGACACGGTGGCTCATGCCTGTAATCCGAGTACTTTGGGAGTCCAAGGTGGGTGGATCACAAGGTCAGGAGTTTAAGACCCTAACTGTAAATCCTGTATACTGTAAAATTAATTTATAGGTTGAGCCCTACTCTAAAAATCTGAAATCTAAAACGCTCCAGAATCTGAAACTTTTTGAGCTCAAAGGACAAGCTCATTGGAGCATATCAAATTTTGGATATTTGGATTAGGGATGCTCAACTGGTAAATATATAATGCAAATATTCCAAGATTTTAAAAAACCTGAAATCTGACACACTTCTAGTCCCAAGCATTTTGGATAAGAGACTCAACCTGTAGTATAAGTTTTATGTTAATGAAATTTACAAGCCATGATTTTGTTTTGTTTTTTTGATGCAGAGTCTTTCTCTGTCACCCAGGCTGGAGGGCAGTGGTGCGATCTCAGTTAACTGCAACCTCCGCCTTCTGGGTTCAAGTGATTTTCCTGCCTCAGCCTCCTGAGTAGCTAGGAGTAGAGGCATGCCACCACGCCTGGATAATTTTTTGTATTTTTAGTAGAGAAAGAATTTCATCTTGTTAGCCAGGATGGTCGTGATCTCCTGACCTCATGGTCCATATGCCTCCGCCTCCGCCTCCCAAAGTGCTGGGATTACAGGCATGAGCTACTGTGCCTAGCCATGAGTCATGTTTTATATAAATGTCAAAAAGGTTGTTTTAGAAACATACCTTAACCTTGGGAGGAAATGGACATTTGAAAACTTGCTCATTTCCAGACTCTTAAAAGTCTGATAGTAAAATGGCCTAAAATGAGGTTTATATTTTTATCATTAATAAATTATTATATTAATTTAAAAAATCAAACACTTTAAGTGTTTAGAATAAGTAAATTCTCCACATTAAGTATGTACATGCATTCTGTTCATACAAGAGATACTGGCCAGGCACGGTGGCTTACGCCTGTAATCCCAGCACTTTGGGAGGCCAAGGTGGGTGGATCACCTGAGGTCAGGAGTTCGAGACCATCCTGGCCAACATGGTGAAACCCCGTTTCTACTAAAAATAAAAAAAAAATTAGCCAGGCGTGGTGGCACGCACCTGTGGTCCCAGCTACTCGGGAGACTGAGCAGAAGAATCACTTGAACCCAGGAGGCGGAGGTTGCAGTGAGCCAAGATTGCGCCACTGCACACCAGCCTGGTGACAGAGCAAGACTCCATCTCAAACATACACACACACACACACACACACACACACACACACACACACACTTAGGGCTGGGTACAGTGGCTGACTCCTATAATCCCAGCACTTTGGGAGGCCAAGGTAGGTGGATCACGAGGTCAGGATATCGAAATCATCCTGGCCAACATGGTGAAACCTCGTCTATACTAAAAATACAAAAATTAGCTGGGCATGGTGACTCGTGCCTGTAATACCAGCTGCTCTGGAGGCTGAGGCAGGAGAATCACTTGAACCAGGGAGTTGGAAGTTTCAGTGAGCTGAGATCTCACCACTGCACTCCAGCCTGGTGACAGAGCTCCATCTCAAAAAAAAAAAAAAAAAATACAAACTTAGTTGGTGTGGTGGTGGGTTCCTATAATTCTAGCTACTCAGGAGGCTAAGGAAGGAGAACAAATTGAACCCGGGAGGCAGGGGTTGCAGTTAGCCTAGATGGCGCCATTGCATTCTACCCTAGGCAACAAAAGTGAAGCTCCATCTCTAAAAAAAAGAACTATTTATTGGCCAGGCCTGGTGCCTTAGTAATCCCAGCATTTCAGGAGGCCAAGGCTTGATCAGTTGAGTTCAGGAGTTCGAAACCAGCCTGGGCAACATAAGAGGACTTTGTCACTACTAAAAGTTTAGAAAAAAAATTAGCCAGGTGTGGTGGCATGTGCCTATAGTCCCAGCTATTCAGGAAGCTGAGGCAGAAGGATCTGAGCCTAAGAGGTTGAGGCTGCAGTGAGCCATGATTGCACCACTGCATTCCAACCTGGGCAACAGAGTGAGACTCAGTTCAAAAATAATAATAACAGAACAGAGAAATATTTGCTGAAGGCTACTGTCAGCCACTGGTTCTGTGCTAGTGCTGCAAATGCAGCATTAAACTCCCTGCTCTCATGGAACTTATGGTTCAGTAGCATAGACATTCTTCTCCTTGCCCTCTCTTGTAACCTACAGACATGTTTAGATCCCTTCTAGTCTTCTAGAATGTTTCTTCCAAAATGGAGCTGCATCCTTGCCACTCCTTGGCCTTGGGTTCTCTGTTGCCCATATTTGTCAATATAATACCCCAAAGCCTTCCGCTGGTCCCATCTCTCCTAACCCGACATGCCAGCCTCATTAGTGTTACTCGTTCATTTCTGAAGACATTCTAGAATTGGATTCTAGACTTGGATTTCTGGGGTTTTTTTTTTTTTTTTTGGAGAGGGAATCTTGCTCTGCCACCCAGGCTGGAGTGCAGTGGCATGATCTTGGTTCACTGCAACTTCCACCTCCCAGGTTCTAGCAATTCTCCTGCCTCAGCCTCCTGAGTAGCTGGGACTACAGGTGCATGCAACCATGCCCGGCTAATTTTCTTATTTTTAATAGAGACGGAGTTTCACCATGTTGCCCAGGCTGGTGTCAAACTTCTGAGCTGAGGCAGTCAGCCTGCCTCAGCCTCCCAAAGTACTAGAATTTCAGGCATGAGCCATTGCACCCAGCCGGATCTCTATCTTTATCTGTTCTCCTCCTGTCTGTCAGCGCCCTCTCAAATCTTGCCTTCTCTCAGATCTTACTGTCAGACGCCATCTGTCCCTTCCATGTGGTTACACAGGACTGTTCATTCATGCAGTCATGCAGCAAACATTTCTTGACATCCACCATGTGCCAGCACTAGAGATACCAAAGTAGAGATATTATCCTTACTTTCATAGAGTTCACAGTCCAGTCAGGGAGACAGGCAGGTAAACTGGTGATGAAGCTGTCCTGAGTGCTGTTACTGATAGGCACAGTGCTAAGGGAGCTGAGAGTGGGTACCTGACCCAAGTGCTGGGTGGGACGGGATGGGACAGGATTGCTTCCTGGGGGCAGGGAGACAGATAAGTTGGTTTGAGTTATACATAAATTGAAAACCACTGTGGTTCTTCTTAAAGTCAGCTTGACCAGAATAAGTTTTTTTTTTTTTTACAGCAAGTCTATTCATTTTTATTACTCAAAAAAGTTTCATGTTTTATTTAGCTTTCTGACTCTGTGCTTGCGCCTTCAACAATCACAATGATTTTCTGCTCAATAAGGAAAGCACACTTGATCGAGTCATGAACACATTTAGCACACGTGGAACTACCATAGGCCCTACTGACATGTTTCATTGTTTTGGACAAACTCATAAGAACTTTAGGCCTTACAGCACAGACTCCTCTAAGTCTGCCTGGGCGCATGCAACATGCAGATTTTGGTGCTTTCCCAACGTTCTTGGTATAAAGGTAAACAATTTATTATGAGGGGTTCAGGATAGCCTAGTTTTGTTAGAGGCTGTATTATAGGAAAGCTTATGTTCGTATGCCAAATGCTGGGCCATTTTGAGTGCCCATATACCAGCTCAAAAGACTGCTCCTGAGAGCTCTAGGCTTCCTCAGCTCCTGGAATGACAGCCAGTTGTGAAGGAAATAAAGATAGGGCCAGAGTAAATTTTTTAATAAGTACATTTATTCTGACTAGATTGTAAGCCCCAGGAGGACAGAAGCGTAATTGTAATTTCTGTCCCCTGAGCCAGGATATATTGAGTACAGTGGAACCAGGGTGTAAATATACATTCTGTTGGTTAGTTTTAGTTTTTTGTGGATCATTAAAGAGCAGATTTTTAAACTGGATTTCGGAGACTGACAGTAGTGACTTACATTTTGGTGTTTATTTTCTATGCTTTTAGTATTCATATTTACTAACAAGCCAGCTGGAATCTCAGCGAATCTACTGGGAAAACAAGATAGTTCGGATAGAGAAGGACACAGCAGAGGAAGTAAGTAAGTCTGTTTGGTTTGGCGACTACTGAAATGCCACATGGCAGGGTACTCTGATGGGGATTGTGGAAGGCAGAGTACAGGAAAAAGGAATCTTAACATCTTCCCTTCTCGGTTGGATAACAGTTGGAATTGTTTTGCCACTAAAAAGAAACTTTGGATTTAAAGGCTTGACTGTTTTGATATTTTGGGGTCTTAGGGGACTTTGTTTGCTTTTTTTTTTAACCTCAATCTGGTTTTCTAGTGCCTTGTACAGTTCCATTAAAAAATACAAGTATATATTATAAAAAAGTACAAATATGTACATGACGGTTTGTTATTTGACTCAGGCAGTTGGTTTGTCAACTTGGGAACAGCTGCCTTTGGGAGCTGAAAATGGACTTCTAAGGCAATGAAATGGTACAGAGCCCTTCTAAATGGAAGGAAATAAAATTGGGCAGAGATATTGGCGCTTCATTATTCACCCTGAAGGACTAGGGCAGCAGTTTTCAAATTCTAACAAAATAGTCCTTTAAAAAGGATGCCATTCACTATTTTAGCAAAATTAAAAAGTGGTTTGATTTTGGTGGAAACTCAGATGGAAGGCCCAGAGGTCTGCCTGCTTGGCTTTCCCCTTGTCTCCACTATGCGCAAGGAACCCTGAGTGTTCTAAAGAAGGTAGTCTGAAAACTAGTAAGCACCTGTGTATAATTAGGGCTCTAGGAACCTTTCTCTGGACTTAGGGACAGTATCTGTGATTCAATGATTCCCTTAGTATGAAATAAAATCTTGTAAAATTTCTCAACAATGGCTGGGCGTGGTGGCTCATACCTGTACTCCCAGCACTTTTGAGAGGCCAAAACGGGTAGATCACCTGAGGTCAGGAGTTCAAGACCAGCCTGACCAACATGGTGAAACCCCGTCTCTAAAAAAAAAAATCAAAAAAGAAAAAAAGTTTTCAACGATTGCTTTAGTAGCTTTGTGAGTCCCCCACCTATCCTTGGGCCTTCAGATAAGCAGTACAGAGCCCACCTCTGAGCTGGATAGGATTATCCTGGAGCTTAGCAGGCAGAACCAAGGGCCCAAGTTTCTGGGTATGCCACAAATGGGCGAAATCAAGGTTTCTTAAAATTAATGCTTAACATCAGCTTTAGGCCAGACATAGTGGCTCATGCCTATAATCCTAGCACTTTGGTAGGCTGAGGCAGGTAGATCACTTGAGGTCAGGAGTTTGAGACCAGCCTGGTCAACATGGCGAAACCCAGTCTCTAATAAAAATAAAAAAATTGATTGTGCTTTTCGATCCGCCATCTGTGCCTCACGTGGGGCCGCCACCAAAATGCAGATTTTCGTGAAAACCCTTACGGGAAAAACCATCACCCTCGAGGTTGAACCCTCTGATACGATAGAAAATGTAAAGGCCAAGATCCAGGATAAGGAAGGAATTCCTCCTGATCAGCAAAGACTGATCTTTGCTGGCAAGCAACTGGAAGATGGACGTACTTTGTCTGACTACAACATTCAGAAGGAGTCTACTCTTCATCTTGTGTTGAGACTTCGTGGTGGTGCTAAGAAAAGGAAGAAGAAGTCTTACACCACTCCCAAGAAGAATAAGCACAAGAGAAAGAAGGTTAAGCTGGCTGTCCTGAAATATTACAAGGTGGATGAGAATGGCAAAATTAGTCGCCTTCGTCGAGAATGCCCTTCTGATGAATGTGGTGCTGGAGTGTTTATGGCAAGCCACTTTGACAGACATTATTGTGGCAAATGTTGTCTGACTTACTGCTTTAACAAACCAGAAGACAAATAACCGAGTTAATAAAAGACATGAACTAAAAAAAAAAAAAAAAAAAAAAAAAAAAAAAATTGATCGTGTGTGGTGGCAGTCACCTGTAATCCCAGCTACTCAGGAGACTGAGGAGGAGAGTTGCTTGAACCCAGAAGACAGAGGTTGCAGTGAGCCGAGATTACACCACTGCACTCCAGCCTAGGCAACAGATAAAGACTCCATCTCAAAAAAAAAAAAAAAAAAATCAGCTTTAAAATGATCTTCAGTTAAAAGTTATTGATGAAATTCTTAGAAGAGCCTTCTAATCAATGCAAGTGCCCTTCCAGAGGCACTCGAGGTCACTTGACTACTAGTTCTTGAATAGGGCTTGATTAGAGTATGTGCGGGGAGGACCACCACCCAATGCTCTTGGAGGCAGAGCACAGGTCACTGCCTCATGGCGTAAAGTCATGGCTCACAGAAAAGTGCATTGACAACTCTGCTGCAGCTGCACTAATGGGTTTTTCCTTGGGATATACCAGCATGACTATCTCAAGTGCTTCATGCAGACCCTTGAGAGCTAAGCTTTGGATTCTGTCTGCCCTTTCAGATTCTTTAGGATTAACTGCATTCCCTAAAATATGCCAATGAAAAGCAAGTCAAAGGGCAGGGAAGCGAAACACTAAAACTTATGTTTGCTTTTGGGTCAGGATAAAATGGAAGCCAGAGCAGCTCTAAATAAAAAGCTTGGGGGTGCTTGAAAGGATGCTTTTGTTTTCTGGTAACAAATGTCACTTATCCATAAGTTAATGGATGATGCAAGCCGTTTGTCCTGCCACCGTCCTCCTTTTGGGTAGTTCCTTGTCTGTTAGCACCCCCAGCAGTAGAACATGTTCAGGGAGAAACAGTAACCCGGACCCTGAGTCTCACTGACAGAGATTTTTGTTCTTGGGCCTCCTGTGGATGTGGAGGAGGATCAAGGTTGAAATTCACTGTGGGCTTCAGTTATAAACACTGCTTCTTTCCCCCAGTGCCTTAGGTAGTGCTGTTACTATAGCATGTGAGCAGAGCCTATTCTAGACAGTGAAGCTCACAGACACTTGAAGGTTCTTAGTTTTCATGGGATCATGTGTGATGAACACATGGTAGGCAGAGGCAGTCGTAAGGTGAACTCCCCTAAAAATACATCTTTCCTTGTGGATATCTAGCTCCATTTCAACCAGTATTTTTCCAGCTGTGGATTGTAAAATGAGTTTGGTGGTCCACAACTAGTATTTTTATTACATAGATAGGATAGATGTAAATATTAGGGTGTATCACAATTAATATTGTTTTGTGAAACTTGTTTCACTTTTGTTTGTGTCATGGGTGTTTCTTACTATGGGCTAATGGTCAGAAATTTTTGTTTGTTTTTTGAAATAAGATCTCACTCTGTTGCCCAGGCTGGAATGCATTGGCACCGTCACAGCTCACTGCAGCTTCAGGATCAGCCTCTGAGGCTCAAGTGATCCTCCCACCCCAGTCTCCCTAGTAGCTGGGACCACAGGAGGGTGCCACCGTGCCTGGCTGATTTTTTAAAATTTTTGTTGAGATGGGAGTTGTCTTATGTTGCCTAGGCTGATCTCCAATTTCTGAGCTTAAACAAACCTTCTGCCACGGCCCTCTGAAAGTGTTGGGATTACAGGCATGAGCCATGGCACTGGCCCAGAAATGTTTTAAAAAGCACTAATTTAGATAGTTGTTAACATTTGTCTGTAGCAATATTAAAAACCTTTTTAGGGTTACCTTTATATTTTCTTCTTTTTTTCCTGCAACTGTCTTGATTGAACCTTTATATTTTCATGTTGATATAAATGTATTTGGCTTAAGTATCTTTATTAAGACATGTACAGTTTGGTTCCTTATGATAGTAACTTTTGTCCTTTTCAACTTCCTTGAACTGACAGGAGTCAGTTTAGAAGAAAATATCAAAAGATCTAGTGCTCTGTTATTTTAAAATATTGAAGATAATACCAAATTAAAATTCGAGCAATTTTAAAGCCGTTTTGATTTTTATGACATAGAAAAACGTTTAGGAATCTCTCTTCCATGTTCTTCCAATGGAGGTTGGCTGTAAAGTGAATTTGTATAAAACATTTATAATTATTACTAAAGTTAGTGCTGTTAGAGACTTGCTAGTTATTATTATTATTAAAGCTAGTGCTATTAGAGACTTGCTAGACAGGCTGTATGGAAAATGATTAAAAAGAAAGGTTAGAAGTGACCCTCCATCTGCCTGACAAGGACCTCTGCTAAGTTCAGATCTAGTCCAGAAGTCACTTTTTCTTCACTATAGAGTTTTGGCCTTCTTTGTAATACAGACAGATGTTTAGAACTTGGCTTTGGACCCAAACCTGAGATATAGTTCTGTATCTGCCACACGCCAGTGGGGTGACCTTGGGCATAATGCCTCACCTTTCTCAAGCCTCAGTTTCTATCAGAAGTTGACTTACAAGGCATATGCTTGCTATAAGGAATAAACGAGATACTGCCTGTGAAACACCCAGCTGATGCCTGGGCCATAGGATTTAAATTCTCAGCCACTTTCAGTTCCTGTTATTACTGCCTTGTGGTCCACCCAGCCTCCCCACTTTGCCTTCCCAACTATCTTTTGCCAGTGTCCTAGACCAGAGGAGTTGAGGAAATTCCCAAGTTTGCAGATCTTGGCACAGGAGTGGATCCAGTATCTACCTAGCCAGATTCCAACATACTCTGGGCTAGAATTGCTGCCATCTGACATGTTATATATCAGAATTTTTAAATTCTCTTGTTTTTAAGGCTGTGTAATTTGAATTAGTCTATGGATATTGTTTTGATAAATAGACAAAAAAAATGGACTGCTTATGTTCCATTTGGCTTCATGATACATGAAAAAATTGTGAATTTGAAAAAACAAATGACTGGAGTCAACTGTCACAAGTTTTGTAGATTACCAATCTTTGTCTCTACAAAAAATATAAAACTTAGGTCAGGCGTGGTGATTCATGCCTGAATCCCAGCACTTTGGGAGGCTAAGGACGGATCACTTGAGGTCAGGAGTTCAAGACCAGCCTGGCCAACATGGCAAAACCCCATCTGTACTAAAAAATACAAAAATTAGCCAGGCGTGGTGGCAGGTGCCTGTAATCTCAGCTACCCAGGAGGCTGAGGCAAGAGAATCGCTTGAACTTGGGAGGCAGAGGTTGCAGTGAGCTGAGATCACACGACTGTACTCCAGCCTGGATGACAGAGTGAGGCTTTGGCTCAAAAAAAAAAACAAAAAAACAAAAATACAAAAATCAGCCACATGTGGAGGTGCATGCCTGTAATCCCAGCTGCTTGGGAGGCTGAGGCAGGAGAATCACTTGAACCTGAGAGGCAGAGGTTGCAGTGAGCCAAGATCGTGCTGCTGCAGGTGCCTGGATGACAGAACAAGACAATGTCTAAAAAAAATAAATAAGCCAGATGTGGTGGCTTGCACCTGTAGTCCCAGCTACTAGGGAAGCTGAGGTGGAAAGATCACTTGAGCCTAGGAGGCATAGGTTGCAGTGAGCTGAGATCATGCCACTGTACTGCAGCCTGGGTGGACAGAGCAAGACCCTGTCTATAAATAAATATAAGAAACACAGTGGTGACTAAGCTCTGCTGGGTGTGGTAGGTAGCACGTGCCTGCAGTAGTCTATTCTGGAGGCTGAGGCAGGAGGATCACTTGAGCCCAGGAGTTCAGGCTGTAGTGAGCTGTGACTGCATCTGTGAATAAGCTACTGCACTCTAGCTTGGGCAGCATGACAAGACCTCATCATTTCTTAAAAAAATAATAATAATGGGAAGCCCCTGATGTAGTACCTGATGCTCACTCTTTACCTTCCAGTGGTTTCACTGGACATTCAGAGGTTCCTGATCCCTTACTCATCCTGATACAGAGAAATAGTAAGGAAAAAAAGGATTTCCTGGTTGGGCCAGTGGCTCATGCCTGTAATCCCAGCACTTTGGGAGGCCAAGGCAAGTGGATCACCTGAGGTCAGGAGTTTGAGGCCAGCCTGGTCAACATGGTGAAACCCCATCTCTACTAAAAATACAAAAATTAGCTAGGCATGGTGGCGCATGCCTGTAATCCCAGCTACTCGGGAGGCCGAGGCAGGAGAATTGCTTGAACCCGGGAGGTTGCAGCGAGCCAAGATCATGCCACTGAACTCCAGCCTGGGCAACAGGCAAGACTCCATCTCAAAAAAAGAAAAAAAGATTTCCTGGCATTTTTATTCCTATTACAGAAATTCTTTCAAATGATTATCTCACCTTTTTCTTTCTTTTATTTTTTTCCCTGCCTAGAAAGTGCCATATCTCACCTTTTCTAATTTTTGGTTTGTCAAAGTTAGGAAAGTATGATGTTAGCCCCAAAGACCACACACTACATTGCCTTTGTGAAATGAGTCTGATTTCTGTTTGCTCTTTCAGATTAACAACATGAAGACCAAGTTTAAAGAAACAATTGAGAAATGTGATAATCTGGAGCATAAACTAAATGATCTCTTAAAAGAAAAGCAGTCTGTGGAAAGAAAGTAAGTATAATCGGTCTATTCTGTTGTAACTGGCTCTATAAACAGTTTCTTTCATTCCTATGGAAACACCCTCATTTTCAAATCTATATATCACCAGTTTTCAGGAGTCTCCCTGTGTATGGAACAAGCTTCTCATTCGTTTATTATTTTATTTATTTAGGAGACAGAGTTTTGCTCTTGTTGCCCAGGCTGGAGTGCAATGGCACAAATCTCAGCTCTCTGCAACCTCTGCCTCCTGTGTTCAAGCGATTCTCCTGCCTCAGCCTCCTGAGTAGCTGGGATTACAGGCATATACCACCATACCCAGCTAATTTTGTATTTTTAGTAGAGATGGGGTTTCTCCATGTTGATCGCTGATCTCAAACTCTCAACCTCAGGTAATCCACCAGCCTTGGCCTCCCAAAGTGCTGGGATTACAGTTATGAGCCACCGTGCCCACGTATTTTTTGGCTTTCTGTTTTTTTGTTTTTTTTTTTAAACTGCATTTTAGGTTTTGGGGTACATGTGAAGAATATGCAAGATAGTTGCATAGGTACACACGTGGCAGTGTGATTTGCTGCCTTCCTCCCCTTCACCTATATCTATCATTTCTCCCCATGCTATCTCTCCCCAGCTCCCCACCCCCCGCTGTCCCTCCCCTATTCCCTCCAACAGACCCCAGTGTGTAGTGCTCCCCTCCCTGTGTCCATGTGTTCTTATTGTTCAACACCCACCTATGAATGAGAACATGTGGTATTTCGTTTTCTGTTTTTGTGTCAGTTTGCTGAGAATGATGGTCTCCAGGTTCATCCATGTCCCTACAAAGGACATGAACTCATCGTTTTTGATGGCTGCATAATATTCCATGGTGTGTATGTGCTACATTTTCCCTGTCCAGTCTATCATCGATGGGCATTTGGGTTGGTTCCAGGTCTTTGCTATTGTAAACTGCTGCAATGAACATTTGTGTGCATGTGTCCTTATAATGATTTATAATCCTCTGGATATATATATACCCAGTAACGGGATTGCTGGGTCTAATGGAATTTCTATTTCTAGGTCCTTGAGGAATCGCCACACTGTCTTCCACAATGGTTGAACGTATTTACACTCCCACCAGCAGTGTAAAAGTGTTCCTATTTCTCCACATTCCCTCCAGCATCTGTTGACTCCAGATTTTTTCATGATCGCCATTCTAACTGGTGTGAGATGGTCATTTGCTGAGGAGTGATTTACTTCCAATTATGTGGTCAATTTTAGAGTAGGTGTGATGTGGTGCTGAGAAGAATGTATAGTTTGCTTGTTCCAGGTCTGAGTTCAAGTCCTGGATATCTTTGTTAATTTTCTGTCTGGTTGATCTGTCTAATATTGACAATGGGGTGTTAAAGTCTCCCACTGTTATCGTGTGGGAGTCTAAGTCTCTTTGTAAGTCATTAAGAACTTGCCTTATGTATCCGGGTCCTCCTGTATTAGGTGTGTATATATTTAGGATCATTAGCTCTTCTTGTTGCATCGATCCTTTTACCATTATGTAATGTCCTTCTTTGTCTCTTTCGATCTTTGTTGCTTTAAAATCTATTTTATCAGAGATGAGAATTGCAACTCCTGTTTTTTGTTCTTGAGATAGAGTCTTGCTCTATTGCCCAGGCTGGAGTGCAATAGCACGATGGCTTTCTGCAACCTCTGCATCCTGGGTTCAAGAGAATCTCCTACCTCAGCCTCCCGAGTAGCTGGGATTACAGGCACATGCCACCACACCTGGCTAATTTTTTATATTTTTAGTAGAGACGGGGTTTCACCATGTTGGCCAAAGATGGTCTTGATCACTTAACCTCCTGATCTACCCACCTTGGCCTCCCAGAGTGCTGGGATTACAAGCATGAGCCACAGAGCCGGACCAGCTTCTCATTTATTAAAAAATGCGGGGTTTCGGAGAGAGATCCAAGATGGCCGGTATCTAGCAGCTCAGGATTGTAGTTCCCGGTGAAAGTGCAGAGAACGAGAAGACACTTTCAGACGAATTTTTGTTGCTCACAGACCAGAAGATTCCCAGCGGAAGGAACCCTGAGGGTCGCCAGCACGACTCTTGTGGCCAGCACAGCGGTTTTGCCGGTGCCTCGGCACGGCAGTTCTTGGTGCAGAGTAAACGGGACTGGGTCCCCTTTTGGTTGACGTTTGGAGCTCCGGAAGGCAGAGTCACCTATTCAGCTGATTGAAAAAGGGACTCAAGAAGGAAGCCAGACCAGAGATTCCTGGGCAGAAAAGTACCATGAATCTTAATGCCGCTGTTTTTGCCGGCACGGTGGGTTGCTCAGATTTGGGTGCGGGGAATTAACAAGTTGGACGTCCACTCAGAGACTTAATTTGAAAGTCGGTAATTACAAAGATGACAGGTGTATAAATTTACAATGCTGGGAAGAAACCAGCGTGAAAGGCTGAGAATACCCAAAATCAGAATGCCTCTCCCTCTACAGGGGATCACAGTTCCTCATCAACAAGGGAACAAGGCCTGATGGAGAACAAGTGTGTTCCATTAACAGAATTAGGCTTCAGAATGTGGATAATAAGAAACTTCTGTGAGTTAAAAGAACATGTTCTAGCCTAATGTAAAGAAACTAAGAACTTTGAAAAAATGTTTGAGGAAATCCTAACGAGAATAGACAATTTAGAGAGGAATATAAGTGATTTAATTGAACTGAAGCATACAAGAACTCCGTGAAGTATGCACAGGTTTTAACAGTTGAATGGATCAAGCAGAAAGGATATCAGAGGTCAAAAACCAACTTAATGAAATGAGACGAGAAGACAAGACCAGAGAATAAAGAGTAAAAAGGAATGAGCAAAGTCTCCAAGAAATATGGGACTATGTGAAAAGACCTAATCTACATTTGATAGGTGTACCTGAATGCCATGAAGAGAATGAATCCAAGTTGGAAAATATTCTTCAGGATATTATTCAGGAAAACTTTCCTAACCTAGTAAGGCAGGACAATACTCAACCCCAGGTAATACAGAGAACACCACAAAGATACTCCTCAAGTAGAGCAACCCCAAGACACATAATCGTTAGATTCACCAGGGTTGAAATAAAGGAGAAAGTTCTAAGGGCAGCTAGAGAGAAAGGTTAGATCACCCACAAGGGGAAGCCTATCAGACTCACAGCGGATCTCTCAGCAGAAACCCTACAAACTAGAAGAGAGTGGGGGGTCAATATTCAATATTCTCAAAGAAAAGAATTTTCAACCCAGAATCTCATATCCAGCCAAGCTTCATAATGAAGGAAAAATAAAACTTTTTGCGAACAAACAAGCACTCAGAGATTTCATCACCACCAGGCCTGTTTTACAAGAGCTTCTGAAAGAAACACTATACGCAGAAAGGAACAACCAGTATCAGTCATCCCAAAAACTTAACAAAAGTTAAAGAGTATCTCCATAATGAAGAATCTATATCTACTAATGGGCAAAATAGCCAGCTAGCATTAAATGACAATATTAAACTCACAAATATCAATATTAATCCTAAATTTAAATGGATTAAATGTCCCCATCAAAGACACAGACAGGCAAATTGAATAAAAAGTCAAAACCCATCGGTACACTGTATCCAGATCCATCTCATAAGTAAGGACAAAGACTCTAAACAAAGGGTTGGTGGAAGACTTGCCAATCAAATGGAGAGCAAAAAAAAAAAAAAAACAGGAGTTGTAACTTTCGTCTCTGACAAAATAGACTTTAATAGTAACAAAGACTAAAAGAAACAAAGTAGGACATTACATAATGGTAAAAGGAGCAATGCAACAACAGGAGTCAATGATCATAAATATATATGCACCCCATATAGGAGCACCCAGATACATAAGACAAGTTCTTAATGACTTGTAAAGAGGCTTGGACTCCCGCACAATAATAGTGGGAGACTTTGACACCACATTGTTAATATTCGATGGATCAACGAGATAGAAAATTAACAGGGACATCTATGATTTGAACTCAGACCTGGAACAAGTAAACTCAGTGAATATTTATAGAATTCTTCACTCCAGGTCCACAGAACATACATTTTTCTCAGTATCACATTACACCTATTTTGAAAGTGACCACATAATTGGAAATAAATCACTCATCAGCATTTGCATAGCATTTCACAGACTTAAATGAAATATTGGTTGGCTGTTTGTTATTTTCTTCCTTTATTCCTTCCTGTCTCCACTGCTAAGCACAATTATCAGCATAAAAGAGGTTTTTAATACCGATTTTTAGATTGCATTCCAGCCTGGGCAATAGAGCAAGACTCCTGTTCTCTCTCCCTCTTTCTCTTTTTCTTCCTTTCTTTCAAAAAAATAAATACATGTGTGGGGTTTCATACCAGATGGATGCCATGTGGAATGCAGTGCTCTCTTCTGATGTCTGTGGACTTGCAGTATGTGCAGATATCTTCCATTTTTGCCTGTTTAAAGCAATTTTCTACCATCCAAAGCCTTCAGCTTCTTTTTGAACCATTGTGGCTGAGAGCTGGCAGTTAGGAAGGAAACTGTATCTAAGCTGGAAATGTTCTATGCTCTGGCCTTGGGCAGGAATTAAAGGCAAAAGATGTTGAATATGGAGCAAAAAACTGATGGACAGCATGGCAAGAACATTCTTTATTTACTGTTATTTGGGAAGATAGTTGCTACTGATTGAAATTACTAGCCAAATGTAGTGGCTCACGCCTGTAATCCCAACACTTTTGGGAGCCTGAGGCAGACAGATTGCTTGAGCCCAGGAATTCAAGACCAGCCTCATGGTAAAACCCCATCTCCACTAAAAATACAAAAATTAGCTGGGCATGGTGGTGCACACCTGTATTGCCATCTACCTAGAAGGCTGAGGTAGGAGGACATGAGCTTGGGAGCCAAAGGCTGCAGTGAGTCAACATCACACCACTGCACTCCAGCCTTGGCAACAGCAAGACCCTGTCTCAACAAAAATAAATAATTTTTTTAAAGCTATTGTAAAATCAACACTACAAAATTAATAGAAGTAAAAATTAAAAATTATCCTATGCTTTTAGCACCCTAACAAATTGAACAACTGCTAAAGAATACAAAGTTAAAACTGGAAGGTTTTTTTTTGAGACAGGGTCTTTCCCTGTCACCCAGGCTGGAGTACAGTGGCGCAATCTTGGCTCACTACATCTTTTTTCTTTCTTTTTTTTCTTTTTTGAGACAGAGTCTTACTCTGTTGCCAGGCTAGAATGCAGTGGTGTGATCTTGGCTCACTGCAGCCTCTGCTTCAAGGGTTCAAGTAATTCTCCTGCCTCAGCCTCCTGAAGAGCTGGGACTACAAGCATGCACCACCACGCCCAGCTAATTTTTGTATTTTTAGCTGGAGATGGAGTTTTACCTTGTTGACCAGGATGGTCTTGATCTCTTGACCTCCTGCCTCAAGCCCCCAAAGTGTTGGGATTACAGGCATGAGCCACCACGTCCAGCCTCTGGCTAACATTTTGTAGAGACTGTTTTACCATTATAGATGTGGGCCACTCCACCCTGTAAAACTGGAAGTTCTTCTTCACCTCCTAGATCCTGCTATCTAGTGGTAACCATTATTATTATTTTTGTTTCTGAGATGGAGTCTTGCCCTGTCAACCAGGCTGGAGGCAATCTCACCTCCACCTCCCAGGTTCAAGCATTCTCCTGCCTTACCCTCCCAAGTAGCTGGGATTATAAGCACCCTCCACTACACCTGGCTAATTTTTTTTCTTTTTTGAGACGGAGTTTTGCTGTTGCTACCCAGACTGGAGTGCAATGGCACAATCTCAGCTCACCGCAACCTCCGCCTTCTGGGTTCAAGCAATTCTCCTGCCTCAGCCTCCCGAGTAGCTGGGACTACAGGCATGCACCACCATGCCCAGCTAATTTTTGTATTTTTAGTAGAGACGGGGTTTCACCTCGTTGACCAGGATGGTCTCGATCTCTTGACCTCGTGATCCACCCGCCTCAGCCTCCCAAAGTGCTGGGATTATAGGTGTGAGCCACCATGCCCGGCCTAATTTTTATATTTTTAGTAGAGATGGGATTTTGCCATGTTGACGAGGCTGGTCTCAAACTCCTGACCTTGTCATCTGCCCGCCTCGGTCTCCCAAAGTGCTGGGATTACAGGCGTAAGCCACCACGCCTGACCGGTATACATTATTAACCAGTACTGGTGAATATTTATTCTTCTAGATGTTTAGCTTGGCCCACGTAAATATCGCACATGCATAATCTTTTCTCTACAAAAATGGAATAGTAGGTATTCTCTTTGATAAAATATGTTTTTGGAGATTTTTTTGTATACTGGCACATCTAGATCTATCCTGATCTTTGTAATAGCTGCATGCTATTTCACTGTATGGATGTACCATAATGATTTTTTTTTTGTCACTGTTGAGATAAGGTCTTGCTATGTTGCCTAGGCCCAAGTACAGTGGTGTGATCATAGCTCACTGCAGCCTCCAGCTCCTGGGCTCAAGTGTTCCTCCTAGTCTGAGCTTCTTGAGTAGCTATGACTACAGGTGTGCACCACCATGCCTGCCCAATTTTAAATTTTTTTGTAGAGACAGGATTTTGCCATATTGCTCAGACTGGTCTTGAATTCTGAGCCTCAGGTGATCCTCTTGTCTTGGCCTCTGAAAATGCTGGGATTATAGGCATGAGCCACTGCACCTGGCCTTCCATAATAATTTTGACCAGGTCCCTATTGATTGTGTCAAATTTCACACTACTATAAGCAAAACTGTAATGAGCATCTTTCTCCACGTTTCTTTTTGCCCAATCCTGAGTGTATCTATTCTATGGGATAAATTCCTAGAAGTAAAACAGCTGTGTCAAAGGGAATGCAAATTTTTATTTATTCATTTATTTTGAGGCAGAATCTTGCTCTGTCACACAGGCTGGAGTGCAGTGGTGCAGTCTCAGCTCACTGCAACCTCTGCCTCCTGGGTTCAAGCAGTTCTTCTGCCTCAGCCTCCAGAGTAACTGGGATTACAGGCCCATGCCACCACAACCAGACAGTGTTTCACCATGTTGACCAGGCTGGTCTTGAACTCTTGACCTTGTGATCTGCCCTCGGCCTTCCAGAGTGCTGGGATTACAGGCAAATTTTTAATTTTTTTAGATATTGCCAAGTTGTTTTCAAAAGAGTTTATACCAGTTTATGCTCCAGTACCAGTGTGTAAGAGTGCCTCTTTTCTCATGTCTCAGCTCTTGGGTGTTCTAATACATAAAAATATTGCAAATGTGGATTGGTTTTTTTTGTTTTGTTTTTGTTTTTGTTTTAGACAGAGTCTTACTCTGTCACCCAGGCTAGAGTGCAGGGATGGATTCACAGCCCACTGCAGTCTCAAATTCCTTGGCTGAAGCAATCCTCTGCCTCAGCCTTCCAAGTAGCTGGGGCTACAAGAAGTGCACACCACCACACCCAGCTAGTTAAAAAAAAATTTTTTTTTGTAGAGATGGTGTCTCACTATGTTGACCAGGCTGGTTTCGTACTCCTGGCCTCAAGTGACCCTCCCACTTTGACCTCCCAGAGTGCTGGGATTACAGGCAGAGCCACTCTACTAGGTTTCTAATGGTGTGGGTTGTTTGGTTGTTTGATTGAGACAAGGTCTCGCTCTGTCACCCAGGCTGGAGTGCAATGGCATGAACACAGCGCACTGCAGCCTTGACCTGCTGGGATCAAGCAATTCTCCCACTTCAGCCTCCTTTGTATCTGGGACGACAGGTGCACGCCACCTCGCCTGGCTAATTTTTTTTTTTTGATTCTTTATAGAGACAGGGTCTTACTTTGTTGCCCAGACTGGACTCAAACTGATTTCCTCTTTCATTTGCTGAAGTGATCCTCTGGCCTCAGCCTCTCAGAGCATTGGGATTCCAAGCATGAGCCAATGCACCCAGCCTCAAATGGTAGTTTCATTTGCAATTCTTATGAGTAAGACTGGACATCAAGAATAGGGCACTCGCAAGTCTAAAACCCTTTGGTTAGAATAAGTGCCCTTTTTTTTCCCTCCAGCAAATGCAATGAAGTCAGAGCACTTGACTCTCCAAGAATGTCATTTTTCCTCATAACATCATTATCACAGCTATCATCATCACAGCTATCATCTCGTAGGCACCTATGTAATCACTGACTGCAAAACAAAGAAGTAGAATTTTTACATCAGTCACAGAATAGTTTCTGCTACTGAAAAATTTCTGATCCTTAAAAAAAAAAAAAAAAAAAAGTCTTAAAAGTACACTTATGGGCCGGGTGCGGTGGCTCACACCTATAATCCCAGCACTTTGGGAGGCCAAGGTGGGTGGATCATGAAGTCAGGAGTTCAAGATCAGCCTAGCCAAGATGGTGAAACCCCATCTCTACTAAAAATACAAAAATTAGCCAGGTGTGGTGGCGGGTGCCTATAATCCCAGATACTCGGGAGGATGAGGCAGGAGAATCACTTGAACTCAGGCCGCAGAGGTTGCAGTGAGCCGAGATCACTGCACTCCAGCCTGGCAACAGAGTGAGACTCTGTCTAAAAAAAAAAAAAAAAAAGTACCCTTGTGGGCTGGCACACTGCCTCATGACTGTAATCCCAGCACTTTGGGAGACTGAGGCAGACTGATCACCTGATATCAGGAATTCGAGACCAGCCTGGCCAACATGTAGAAACCTGGTGTCTACTAAAAATGCAAAAATTAGCCAGGCATGGTGGTGGGTGCCTGTAATCCCAGCTACTTGGGAGGCTGAGGCAGAAGAATCACTTGAACCAGAAGCAGAGGTTGCAGTGAGCGGAGATCGTGTACTCCCACCTGGGCAACAAGATCGAAACTCCATCTCAAAAAAAAAAATACACTTCTGTTGCCAGGTGCTGTGGCTCATGCCTGTAATCCCAGCTCTTAGGGAGGCAGAGGCGGGAGGATAGGTTGAGCCCAGGAGTTCGAGACCTCCCGGGGCAATATAGCGAGACCCCATTCTCCACAAAAAGGAAAAAAAAAAGAAAAAGCATAAAATACACTTGTGTTAAGTAGAGCAAAATTCTTGCTTTGCATAGCTGATTGCAATGGCAGCAAACTAGTCTTCCTCACTATGGGAGAAAGGGGCCTGTCCTAAAGGCATTCTGAGGTCGTGGTTTCTCTGGTCAACCCCAGATCAGAAAGGGGACTGTGTCAGCAAATGAAAAATGTGCTTTTGTCTTCCTTTGTTTTTCAAAAGGTGCACTCAGCTAAACACGAAAGTGGCCAAACTCACCAGTGAGCTCAGAGAGGAGCAGGAAATGAACAAGTGTTTGCGAGCCAACCAAGTCCTCCTGCAGAACAAGCTAAAGGAGGAGGAGAAGTTGTTGAAGGAGACCTGCGACCAAAAAGATCTGCAGATCACCGAGATCCAGGAGCAGCTTCGTGATGTCATGTTCTACCTGGAGACACAGCAGAAGATCAACCATCTGCCTGCTGAGGCCCGGCAGGAAATCCAGGAGGGACAGATCAACATCCCCATGGCCTCAGCCTCAAGTCCCGCCTCTTCTGGGGGCAGTGGGAAATTGCCCTCCAGGAAGGGCCGCAGCAAGAGGGGCAAGTGACCTTCAAAGCAACAAACATCCCCGAGACTGTTCTCCCTGGCACCATGAGGGCGTGCTGGGCTCTAATAAGTACAAATGAGGATCAAGCCACAGGCTTGTTTGGCTCTTTGATTTGCTAGTGTGTGATGTAGTGAATGTAGAGGATACTGACCGGGAGAGCTGATGGAAAGAGGCTGTGTTTGAAAAGGTCTTAAGAGTTCATTAACCTCAGACATTCTAATGACCATTTTGCCTTCTTGCTTGGTAGAAGCCCCAGCTCTGTTGTGCATTTTTCCATTGTATTTATGGAGTTGGTGCATTTGACATTCAGTTCTGGGGTAGGTTTAAGTTGTTATTTCTTATAACCTCAAAGGTAAGGTTATCTAGCACTAAAGCACCAGACCTCTCTGAGGTCATAGCAGCTGCTTTAAAGAGAGGTTTCCATTGGCTGCTGAGAAGTTATGAAAATTCCCTAGCAATAGTGTCATATCATTATCATCTCTCCCTTCCTCTGGGGAGTGGAAGAATTGCTTGAATGTTATCTGAAAAGAGGCCTGGTAGTAAACCAGGCCCTGGCTCTTTACCAGCAGTCATCTCTTCTTGCTCTGGGGCTAGCCAGGAAAAACAAACAGCCTGGGGCACATTGGGTAGACTAAGTGTAGGAAAAATGGTGGCAGCTCCACTGTTTATTTTTGGTGACTTCATACGTCATTATCAACCTCAATTAAAGAGGAGGCTTAATGGCTGTTCCCAAACTCAAATCTCAAAGTGGATATCCTAGCATCTAGCAAGAATAAGTGGGGGAGATTTCTCATCTGTGTGAAAATGTAGAGTGAGGCCTCTGACTAGCTAATTGTGTATTTTGCTGGGTGCAGTATTTTCTAAATGTTTACAAAAGATTGGGCTGCATGTTCAGGTTGCAGCTAGAGGGAGTTTGGGCACATTTTCAATTACACTTTCAAGATATAACCAAAGGCTGTTTCTAAATCCCAAAATTAGAATTTCAACAGAGCCCCCTTTAAAGAGTCATGTAACGCTTGTGTGGGCCAACAGAGGGGCTTTGTACTCTCTCTGGAACCATAAATGTCAAATAATTCATAACCTGTAGTAACTGAGCAAACTTAAAATGAGACCTGTGTTGGAATTTAGTTTCTTGAAGAGGTAGAAGGATAATTAGTAAGATGTATTGTTAAATGATGGGATTTGGTTTTTGCTTTGTAATTAGCCAAAGGTTTTCAAATGATCACATTTCAGAATAGGTTTTAACCCTCATCCCCTCTGACGTAAATCTTTTTTTCTTTTCTTTTTTTGAGGTAGAGTTTTGCTCTTGTTGCCCATGCTGTAGGCTGGAGTGCAGTGGCATGATATCAGCTCACTGCAACCTCTGCCTCCCAGGTTCAAGCGATTCTCCTGCCTCAGCCTCCCGAGTAGCTGGGATTACAGGCATGCACCACCATTTCTGGCTATTTTTTTATATTTTTAGTAGAGATAGGGTTTCACCATGTTGGCCAGGCTGGTCTCAAACTCCGGACCTCAGGTGATCCACCCACCTTGGGCTCCCAGAGTGCTGGGATTACAGGCATGAGCCACTGCTCCCAGCCCCTAAATGTCTCACATGTTACTTGTTAGCACATCAACTGTATCAATAATCACCATCTATGTTTGTGGGATGTGCTGCAGCATTTCCCAAAAAACTTTTCCTGTAATGTTGCAAAATGAATGTACTCAGACTTTTTTTTTTAAACCGGGTTTCACCATGTTGGTCAGGCTGGTCTTGAACTCCCGACCTCAGGTGATCTGCCTGCCTTGGCCTCCAAAGTGCTTGGATTATAGGCGTGAGACACCACACCCGGCTGACATTCTTAATTTTTACTTAAGGCAGACCAACTCTTTGAGTCTCTCTTGGACTTATATGTACCGATACCTTAAAGCTAGAGTGGGAATGTAAAGCATAACCTAATTCTCTTTCCTATAGAGATTCTATTTTATTTAAAATCTATTTTTACACTAGTTAGAATCCTGCTGTTTTGGCCAAGTACTTGTCTTGCATGTCTGACCTTGTAGAAGCTGGGGTGGATCACAGCATACTAATGAAGAGAATTAGAAGTGGTTTACAAAGCTCGCTCACTCCTCATTTCTCTGTGATTCCCTTTATCCAGTGGCCCCACCACCACCTGGGAAAACAGATTTTTCAGCATAGGTGGGATAAATGCTCTGAAAGGCTGTGCCCAGAGGAATGGGCAAATAGGCAAATGTTTCCAAACTGCTTGAAGATTTGAAAAAAAAAAAATGTTCCTTTGCAGGTGGACACTGGAAAAAAAAAAAACATACATATATGTGTGTGTGTGTGTGTGTGTGTGTGTGTGTGTGTGTGTGCGCTTTCCAGGAAAAAAAAAATCTTACCAAGATATGTAAAGAAAATGTGAGGGGTTTTTTTTGTTTTTTTTTTTTTTTTGAGACGGAGTTTTACTCTTGTTACCCAGGCTGGAAAGCAATGGCGCGATCTCGGCTCACCACAACCCCTGCCTCCTGGGTTCAGGCAATTCTCCGGCCTCGCCCTCCTTAGTAGCTGGGATTACAGGCACGCACCACCATGCCCAGCTAATTTTTTGTATTTTTAGTAGAGACGGGGTTTCACCATGTTGACCAGGATGGTCTCGATCTCTTGACCTCGTGATCCACCCACCTCGGCCTCCCAAAGTGCTGGGATTACAGGCTTGAGCCACTGCACCCGGCCTAGTTTTTTGTTTTTTTTTTTAAGTCAGAGTCATGTTTGAATTTGACAAAATCACATCAGACAGAAGCTGTGTTTTCTTCAGGATGGCAATGAACCACTTAATATACCCATACTACCTTGAACAATGAAATTGAATTAAAATAGCCAGACTTTGAAATTATTCTGCCCTGTGTGAAATTTGTGTCTCTGATTGACATTTGCTTGGGAGCATGTATCTAATCTAAGAAAGTGTCAGCCAGGCACAGTAGCTCACACCCATAATCCCAGCACTTTGGGAGGTCATGGTGGGCGGATGACTTGAGGTCAGGGGTTCACGACCAGCCTGGCCAACATGGTGAAACCCTGTCTCTACAAAAATACAAAAATTAGCCAGGCATGATGGTGGATGCCTATAATCCCAGCTACTGGGGAGGCTGAGACTAGAGAATCACTTGAACCCAGGAGGTGGAGGTTGCAGTGAGCTGAGATTATGCCATTGCCTTCCAGCCTGGGTGACAGAGCAAGCCTCCATCTCAAAAAAGAAAAAATAAGTGTCAATGGCCTTGATTTAGAAAGCAACATAAAAATCAACCCCTTGGTTGGGTACGGTGGCTCACATCTGTAATTCCAGCACTTTGGGAGGCTGAGGTGAGAGGAACACTTGAGGCCAGGAGTTCAAGACCAGCCTGGGCAACATGGCAAGACCAAATCTCTACCAAAAAAAAATTTATTTTGCCGGGTGTGGTGGTGCACACCTGCAGTCCCAGCTACTTGGGAGGCTGAGGTGGGAGGATTGCTTGAGCCAGGAGTTCGAGACTGCAGTGAGCTGTGATTGTATCACTTCACTTCAGCCTGGGCGCCTGTGAGATCCTGTCTCTTAAAACCTTAACAATATAGTGAACATCTGGATTATTCATCTTTCTGCTCCCTTCTTTCAGGTTCCCAAACTAATGAAAAGTAGCTGAACTGGACAGGAGAAGTCCCAGGCACACAACTCTTTTGCAAACTAAAAGCAATTTTTTTTTGAGACGGAGTCTTGCTCTGTCACCCAGGCTGGAGTGCAGTGGCATGATCTCAGCTCACTACAACCTCCAACTCCCAGGTTCGAGCAGTTCTGCCTCAGCCTCCTGAGTAGCTGCAGTTACGGGTGTGCACCACCATACTCGGCTAATTTTTTTGTATTTCTAGTCAAGGCGGGGTTTCGCCATGTTGGCCAGGCTGCTCTCAGACTCCTGACCTCAAGTAATCCATCCCCCTTGGCCTCCTATGGGATTATAGGTGTTAGCCACCACGCCAAGCCACTAAAAGCATTTTCTATACCTGAGACTTTTTCCATTCCCTACACTAAGCTGAGATTTTTTTTTGCCGGGGGGGGGGTTGTTTTTGGTGGGAAACCGTCATAAATGTGACTTTTTAGGATACATTGACTAATATGTAAAACACTGAAGCAATTACCCCCTCCCTGCTTGCATGGCAAAGTTGTCCTCCTCAAAAGGGCTGAGAAACTGATTTCCACAGCCAGCCAGTAGAGTGTGGAGAACTTGGCAAATCACGAATGAACAACCTTCTGTCATCGTTTGGAAACCCCTCCCCTATCCTAGTACAGTCAGGCTCCACAAGCTACAAATACCATCCATGAGATTTGGCTGCTGTGCACGATGCCACGTTGCTTGGGCTGGTGGCATATTTTGGCTTGCGTGTTGGAAGTCCATGGGCTTATCTAAAAAGAAAAAGTTACTCTTATTTTCTCCAGGATAAAGCTGAATTAACTGCCCCACAGTAACTCTGCTGCATCACTTCTCTTGGCAGCGGAAGGGAAATTAAAAGTATCTTAAGAATCAGCTCCTGTGCCTTAATAGTGCTGGGGTCCTTTAAACTACCCAGATACCAGGTTGTCACCTTAAACAAGTTTAGGAAGCCACCGAATATTCTGTGGCAGACCTTTTCTGCTGGCCAGTCCTTTTTATGCTTACCTGTGAAAATTCTTGAAATAGGATACCCAGAATACCTATAAAGTGACCACAACAGATGAAGCTTTTTTTTTTTTTTTTTTTTTTTTGATGGATCCTCACTCTTGCCCAGGCTGGAATGCAGTGGCACAATCTCGGCTCACTGCAACCTCCACCTCCCAGGTTCAAGCAATTCTCATGCCTCAGCATCCCAAGTAGCTGGGATTATAGGCATGCACCACCATGCCTGGCTAATTTTTGTATTTTTAGTAGAAATGGGGTTTCACTGTTTGGGCCAGGCTGGTCTCAAATTCTTGACCTCAAGTGATCCTCCTGCTTGGTTTCCCAAAGTGCAGGGGTTACAGGCATGAGCCACTGTGCCTGGCTATTTTTTGGTAGATATGTAGTTTTGCCATGTTGGCCAGGCTGGTCTCGAACTCTTGGCCCTAAGAGATCTGCCCACCTCGGCCTCCCAAAGTGCTCAGATTACAGGTGTAAGCCACTGTGCCCAACCCAGATACACCTTTGACGGTAACGAGTGAAGCAGTGATAGGGAGAAAAGCCTGTCCTTTAGGAACCCAAGTTTTATTCGAGAGTTGAGGCCAAATGTCTCCTCCTCTGCAAGGTGAAGTTGATTTTGCACCTCCCCCCACCACTAGCCTCCCGCAAACACTGTCCTGTAGTCTCCCTGGAGCAAAATGAAAAACATGCTTTGCATCTGTGCTTTTAACGTTTACTGGAGTTGGGGCTGGCTTCTCTATCCTGATTAATGCCATAATCAACTTCTTTGAGACAGAGTCTCGCTCTCTTGCCCAGGCTGGAGTGCAGTGGTGCCATCTCAGCTCACTGCAGCCTCTGCCTCCTGGGCTCAAGCGATTCTCCTGCCTCAGCCTCACAAGTAGCTGAGATTATAGGCACACACTATATGCCCGGCTAACTTTTTTTTTTTTTGAGACGGAGTTTTGCTCCTGTTGCGCAGACTGGAGTGCAATGGCACAATCTTGGCTCACTGCAACCTCTGTCTCTGGTGTTCAAGTGATTCTCTGCCTCAGCCTCCCAAGTAGCTAGGATCATAGGCATGCGCCACCACACCTGGCTGATTTTTGTATTTTTAGTAGAGAAGGGGTCTCACCATATTGGCCAGGCTGGTCTCAATCTCTTGACCTCATGATCCACCTGCCTCAGCCTCCCAGAGTGCATGTGGTTTCATGTTGGCCAGGCTGGTGTCGAACCCCTGACCTAAAGTGATCCACCTGCTTCAGCCTCCCAAAGTGCTGGGATTACAGGCATGAGCCACCATGCCTGGCTGTCTTTTGGTGTTTTAGTGATAACCTTTCTTTACCTTGTATTCCTGAAACTCACATGTTCCCAGACATTTATTACCATAGGGTCTATCAGACATTAATTTTGAAACTTGTACTTCCAGAAGCCAAAACTATTTCTGAATTATTTCGGAATTATTGTAGCTAGTATGCTTTTCATGAACATTGAGTAGTTGCTCCCTGTAATTCTGGAAACTTAGGAGGACATGAAAGGGGTTCTACAGTTGGTTCTTAATCTGGATTTTGCATTCTTACTGCATGAAAGGAAAAGATGAACAATCTGTTTTTTTATACAAGATGATTGCAGTCCTTGGGGCCTAATGTTGAATTGCTTCGAGTCAGAAACTTCTCACTGGAATCATCTGGAAAATGTGGTTCTGGTACTTGGCACGGAGCTGCGCTGGTACAGATAACATTTGTTACTCCAAGGCTAATTACCACGCTTACTAAGTGAACTGAAGCAGCTTTGTTTCTTTTCAGACCTTGTTCTAAATCCCCTGACCCAAGACTCCTTTTCTGTCCAGCTGAAGATTGCCTCAAAACAAATGCAGGGAGGTTTGTCCAGGAGGGGAAGTCAAAAAGTGAAATCATATACAGAGTCCCAGACATGAACGTTTACAACACTCAGGGTAAATCTGGGTGCTTTTCTTTTTCTTTTTCTTTTTTTGAGACTAAGTCTTGCTCTATCACCCAGACTGGGATGCAGTGGCTCAATCTCGGCTCAATGCAACCTCTGCCTCCCGGGTTCAAGTGATTTTCCTTTGTCAGCCTCCCAAATAGCTGGGATTACACCATCAAACCCAGTTAATGTATGTGTGTGTGTGTGTGTGTTTGTGTTTTGAGACAGAGTCTTGCTCTGTCACCAGGCACCAGGCTGGAGTGCAATGGCGCAATCTCGGCTCACTGTAACCTCCGCCTCCTGGGTTCAGGCAATTCTGCCTCAGCCTCCTGAGTAGCTGGGATTACAGGCACGCGCCACCATGCCCAGCTAATTTTTGTATTTTTAGTAGAGACGGGGTTTCACCATGTTGGCCAGGATGGTCTCGATCTCCTGACGTGATCCGCCCGCCTTGGCCTCCCAAAGTGCTGGGATTACAGGCTTGAGCCACCGCGCCCGGCCGAATTTTTGTGTTTTTAGTAGAGACGGGGTTTCACTATGTTGGCCAGGCTGGTCTCGAACTCCGGACCTCAAGTTATCCACCTGCCTTGGCCTCCCAAAGTGCTATGACTACAGGCGTGAGCCACTATGCCTAACCTAGGTGTTGTGTTTTCAAAAGGTAAAAGTAAACCTATGGCACTGAGCATAAATGCCAAACTGAAAAAACAGTTCCAACTTGGCCTCTGTGAAGATCTTCTGCCATTTTTTTGCCCAGAAGAAGCAGCAGGTTTCAGACAGATTTCCTTTTACATTTGTTTCCTCATTTAAAAAGGAAGAGCCCAGGCTAGGTGCTGTGGCTCACACTGTAATCACAACACTCTGGGAGGCCAAGTTGTGAGGATCGCTTGAGGCTGGGAGTTTGAGACCAGCCTGGGCAACATAGTGAGACCTCGTCTCTACTAAAAAATAAAAATTAGCCGGGGTGGCGCATGCCTGTAGTCCCAGCTACTCAGGAGGCTAAGCCAGGAGGATCTCTGGAGCCCAGGAGTTTGAGGTTGCAGTGAGCTATGATTGCACCACTGCTCTCCCAGCTGTATCAACTCCTGATTCTAAATTCTCAATCCCTTGGTTATGGCTTAATAGGGAAAAGTTCAGGTTTTCCCTAGAGAACTGGGAGAACTTAAGTACCCTGTAAAAGAATGAGATGTTTCCACAATTTAAGAAACTTGCCTGTATCAGTTTACATCATTAGCATAATGCTTAGCACCAAAAGGCTTCAGTGCTAACTGAAAAGAAGGGACAGGAATTAATT